CCTTTGGACTTTGGACCTTTGGACCCAGGCTAAAAGTGAGCCAGCAATAGTCCTCCCCGTAAGAACATCAAGGGCCATTGGCACACATGTTAGATTCCAGTCTCTCTCTCTCTCTCTGTCTGACGCGCCTAGAATTCGGGCCAATCTATGCTCGACATGACCCAACAATCTAGATGGCCCTGCAAGATCCTCCAAGTCTTGTAACCTCACAGTGCACCAAGAGGCATGGTAATGAAGTTGTTCACATTGTCCCAACATGTCCCAACTGGTACATGTTCTTTGCTGTTCGTCAGCGTTAGCAGAGAGTCCTTTTTTCGGATTGGGTCGACCCAAGGAAGCTTTTTTGGGGGGGTCAACTGTTCTTTGTTTGCTTAGAGACTGGGGATAGAGCCGCAAACATTTGCGAGTCCAATTTGAATTGTGAGATATTGATGAACCGTTCATTAACCTCCAATAGACCTGGGAAACCTCCAACTGGGGCCTTGTTGATCTTGTTGAGACACACCCGTTTCACCAAGGTTTACTTGGACTTTGGGCTTGTAGCAGATGTACCTCTTCAGGCGCAGTGCTGTGGCGAAGATTCCTTTCTTGAGGAGATGACCTGACCCTGGCCTCAATGCCACTTCTCGACATCAACAGCAGATGCTTGAAAGCATGAAACTGGAATCCACACTGTTTGTAGAGGAACATCATCTTCCCTGTCAGGCCATGCCATACACTTCCATGTTTGAAAGAGGGTCATCTACTTCAAGGTTTCATATGCACCCAAGGTCGGCCCAGGTCTCAGCTTCGGTTTCATACGCTTCGTATCGCTTCGTAGGGTTTCAGATGTATGAGATCTCAGTATATTGCAGTTTCAAAGGGCCCATGCGGCTATGCATAGCTGGATAAGAGCGAGGGAGTCAGTGCAGATTTGCAGTTGCCAACATAACGTTGATTTATAATCCAGAAGAAGACATACTGGATCATAGTCCAATCAACGAGATAATGAAATCCCAGTGCGACCCCTCATTTCCAGACTCGGCGAAGATTCCGGATCCGACCTTCATGGGAGAGTGTGGCAGGTGAGGGAGGGCTTGGTTTGTGCAGTCATGTACATGGTGCAGCCTGAGCCCGAGACACACTTCGGATCTGGACAGAATTGGCACCGAAAAGTCATGGTGAACAGAGAATCCACCATTCGATCCGGATTTTGGTTCTGTGATGTTCTGTGTTTGTGCGTTTTTGTTTGCTTTAGAACACGTGTCTCATGTGTGGAACTGTTCGGAGGGCATTTGATTTCTGGTGTTGCATGCCCATGGCCTGGGTTCAGCAGACAGCATGGTACTGTATGACGACGAAGACCTCGTATCGAAGTAGAACATTTCTGTACACGGAGAGTCTTCCTATGGCCTATGGGCTTTTTGGTGTACACATGTGTACACTTCCATGTGAGCTTCGCTGGTCACTGCAGTTTCAAACAACATAACACCTTCTTGGTATGTCTTGGTGCTATTGTTTTGGGATAGGACTTTCTGCAATCTGTGTGTGCTAGGGTGTCTCAATGCTGTTTTTCTTCGGCCGTGGTGTCTCCTGAGAGGAAGCGGTGGGCCGATGTAGCCGCACTCTTCAACCAGTTGATGCTCTTGCCTGATTGGGTTCTCGAGGATGTTCCGAAACTCAGAAAGCGACACTGTCCATGCCTGCATTGCCTTCTTTGTATGAGCCATTCAGATTGAAAGCTTTGGAGTCGTACTACATGTAACCGAGTCGAGTGTATCTTGCACTGATCTCCAGCGGACTATCCCTACTTTGTAGGTCACAGAGTGAAGCGCTGAGTGCTGACAGCTTCAGGGCTGGTTTGTTTGTCACATCCCTTATCATCAGCTCATAAGATCTTTCAATTTATAAGTCATAAGTTGTCATAAGTATTCATAAGTTATCCATTGTTATTCCGCTAGGCATCAGTCAAAAAGATGGACATCTCGCTCCGGCTCCCACAGAGGCAGAGACCTTGAGCCGCTTCACCAACGATATCCAGCTGGCTGCCAAGGCGAGCGTCGAGTCGCGACCGGCGAGTCATGGACGAGTCGCGGCGAGTCGCGTGACGAGTCGCATGTATTTCTGCCAGCTGGTACGTTTCAGATGCCAGAAACTGAAACTGAATGCGCGAAGTGTGGGGGTTCAACTTTAAGGTACTGTATAGAAGTCTAAATGCCTGGAGATTCATGGAGATTCTATGCATTTTGCTTGCTGACTTGCTCACCCAATGGGATTCTTGTTGCTCCCGGATTCTGGTCTCCTGCGGAATGTGAGGAAGCTCTACATTTTCCGGAGCCAGGAGAGACGCGTGAGGCTGCGAGGGTGGATGAATTCGTCCTTGGGGTGTTCGATCAACAGGGTCACTGTGTTCGTCGCTGTGGTATTTCACCGGCGCTGACGCTCCCACATATTCTACCTGGAGCCTGAGTGACCCCTGTTTTGGAGGATCAACTATCCAAAATATGGTATTTTCCTATCAAAACAGAGGTCAGTCAGGCTCTAGGTACATCTATCTACATCACTTCACAGTGAAACTAGAGTCAAGCTCAACAGGGTCTTCTTTCCCCGCTGACGATTCCAAGCCTGTTCCCTTGGCTGTGGTCGCTAGACAGTATAGTAGATAGATGTAGATAGGGACAGTGGGAATCTTGTTAATCCATTCATGCGCGTCACTGACATTTGGCTACCTTAAGAGAGTCATAGTTACTCCCACCGTTTACTCGCGCTTGTAAGAATCTCATCACTTTGACATTCAGAGCACTGGGCAGAAATAACATAGCGTCAAAACCTGTTAAGTCCATCGCGGTTATCTATTTTAATTAAACACTATTAAACAGTCGGATTCCCCTTGTCCGCGTTAGTTCTGAACTAGTTGAGAATTTATGTAGGGGTAATTCTGAACCCCACAACTGCCTCACAGGATCTTGGGCTTTTACTTAATATAATCAATGCAACAACCTTACATTTGTGTGCAGCTAGTTTGTTTGTATCATACGATATATATATATAGAAATTAAGTGTTTTTCAATTCAGAAGAGACAAGTAGTTTCGACTGAAAAGGTCCTTCAGACCCCACTTGGGGCCTTTGACGTGGAGGCCTGCTTCAAAGATATGCTTGCTTCCCATGATATGTTCCTGTGAGCTAGTCACCTAGTCGAAATGTCCGGGTGACATGAATCATGCACACGGACCTGTCTTGAAATGAGGGCACTCCACAACCAATGGTCCGTGCAATCAACAAAGACCCCCAAAATACAAAGTGTGATTATCATGAACTATCATAAGCACACCCTAAATCAGTTAACTGACATAATATGTTAGAACAAATAACGGGTCGCTGGATGTTTTCTTGATTTCTGCTGTCCCCCATTTCTTAGTTTTCGTGTGTTGCTGACACAAAAAAGCTGATTTCTGCTGGCTACCATTCTTTGCCATTTGTATTTTTGTGGGGTCTCCATTCCAGATGAATCCTAGTCAAATCTAAAGCAACCGTTTACTTCAGATCCGTTTAGGGTCCTTTGTTTATTAACCAGACCTGGTCACTATACTAGTGGTCTTTTTGTGGATGTCTTCCAGTTTTGACATGATGATCATGATGATTTTCATGCTCAATGGTTCTGGGCTCATCCTCCTCAGCTTCTAGGTTCCTTCCCTAAAGTTTGCCGCCTTGCTGGAGCAGCAACTTGTCCAAATAGGTCCCCGGAGATAGAGCGAAAGAGGAAAAGCGAGACTGAGAGCGAGAGGGTGAGGGCTGCAGGTGCTTCACTTTCGCAGCAGTGCGGCGTGGTTCACTGGATCGCAAAGTTATCACAAGAAGATGAAACGCATCAAACGCATCAAATGCAGGTCCTTCCTAGACTTTCATGCAACTTGAGGGACTTGAGGAGCTAAACAACTGTTCTTCAACTGTTCTTCATGTTTCACGTGTTGGTGTTTTTCGGACCACTTGACTCGTTTGTTCCAAGCCGTGCGCTCGCCGAGGTTGGCGCTGCTGGCCCCAAGGCCTCGACCAAGCCAGTGTAACCGGTTTCTACGACTCGGCTGATGCACCAGTTTTTTGCCAAAGTACATGGATGCTGAAGATGACGGAAGATGAGTTTGCAACATTCTTACAATATGTATATATACACAACATATATTACAATATAATGATTATTGTACTCGTAGTTTCTACTGGACCAACAGATGCCTATTGGTTGAGGCGGTACACAATTCCCATCAACAGCTTCTCAATTTGTGTCTCTACTTTCGCTCAAACACATTTTGTCGGTCACGGGTGTGGATCTGTTCTTGATGCAGGCAGTGGGGACGGGGAACCTCGGTAGCCTTCGTGGGTTTGCACAGCCTTCGCGCGTTCGTGAGGTATGAGTTTCAACTGCCACCCTACTTCCTGAACAATGCACGAGCCCTGGGCTGTCTGGAAGGCGAGGTGGACCGCGAACCGTTTGTTGAAAAAGGCCACCCCGGGTAAGTCGAAGAAGAATAGGCAACTCGGCGTTGGTACCCAGATCGTCAGGTGAGTTTGCGGAGCTGTAAATTGAATAGGCACAGAATAGCCGGGGCGAATAGCAAGGGGGCGAAGCAGGACCCCGCAAGGAACAAGCAGAGCACTCATAGCATTTGCCACAGGCATGGCGCGCACGGTTGATCCTGATTTTAACATCTTGGAGAAAGCCCGGACTCTGAGATTGGGTCTGTCCACACGCGTGTTGTCTCGCATTGCTGGCTTTTTAGAATATCATGAATCATGAACAGAGAGCTTTTGGGGTCAGCCAGCACTTAAAGCATGGACAGGACCCATTTGCATCCCAGTGTTTGAGTGCACGTGCTCCCAGTAAACCCTGAACATCCAAACATCCATCAATGTTCATGTGAGTGGGAAGGTGGTACAACCCTCCTGCATCCATTTTCACAAGCACATTAAAGTCTGAAGCTTAATCCCTTGGTTTGCCATACACACAGCATGACACAGCAGCTCTGTGATGTGCCAGCTGCAGTTGAAGATCGAGTCCCATAAACAACCACTTTGCCTCACTTGGCCAGTATGCTTTTTTGCATACAAGTCTTTGGCAAGACAGCAAACGACAGCAAGACAGGTGATGGTGTTAAACGTCTTGACCCCCAAAGCTTGAACTGTGTCATGAACCTCCTTAGCATCATGAAATGTCATGAACCCCCCCGTGCTGCTGGCTTATTGTGTCACTTCTACAGACTGATGGTTCCTTGCAAGACGACCTCATTCCTTCCGATCCCACAGACCTTGTGACTTTCAGTCCTTTCCATGCGTCGACCAGTCCTTGTTTGACGACCGGATGGGTCGACGCAACACGTCGACCATTGTCCGCGATCGACTTCAGCTGGCGAGGTCTATCCATTTGCTTTGGATCGTCTTTTGCCGGGCTCCTAGGGCGGCAACCACATGGCGAGGATAACAGGAAAGCCATGGAAAGCCAATGATGACTATACTAATCATATACATGTATATCATGTATATGCTTGTACATGCTTCTCCTTCTCATGCATGGTTTTCAGGGGTACCATGTATAGATAGTTATAGATACAGTATCTATAATGTATTATAATGTAGTAATACATGTATTACTGGGTACGGCCCAAATGGCCAAATGCTAGGCAAACCGTTGAACTTGAATGCAAATGGTGAGCCAGCCCTGTTATGGCACCCTTTCCCCGTAAACCTTATTGAACACAAACCTCTTTGAGCAATATTGAACACGAACCTCTTTTAGCTACAAAGACATAGGAGCTACATGTTTTGCCTGATAAACGATATAGAAGTATTGTGGAGGAGTTCGGCAAGGGTCAGTTGTTCGGCCCTGTGGGCTCCAGTCGCCAACGGCGCGTACGCGCCGAACTTACGAATGCGTGGGTAACTGACTGAATGAATGAATGACAGAATGAGCGAGTGAGCGAGGAGGGAAGGAGTGAGGGAGGGAGTGAGGGAGGGAGTGAGGGAGTGAGGGAGGGAATGAGTGAGTGAGTGAGTGAGAAAAAGTTGGCGCAAGTTGAAGTGTGACGTGATTTGAGTCGGGGTGGTTTGTGTTGGTGTGAGTTGGGCTGGTGTGAGATGAGCTGGTCAGGAGGAGGTGGGAGGAGTAGGAGGAGGAGGAGGAGGAGGAGAGGAAGATGCTGGGCCGGTGCAGCACAAAAGCAAGTAAGAACCCCATGGGGAATAAATAATCATGGATGCTGAAGCCAACGACTCTTTGATTTTGTTGTTTGGCTTCAGGAGTCAGCCTTGTACTGTTTGCTGCCGTTTTTTTCTTGGTTCCAGTCAGATGCCCTAAATTAATCATCAAACAACGCGTCCCAAAAACACATGATAAATTGAGAGAATTCCAACGCTAAATCTTAAATAACAAATTCCCTTCCCTCCCCTTCCCTATCAAATATATTGAGGGTGTCAGAAAAAATCAATTCCACCAAATCAATTCCAGGGAGTCAGGCGTAGTACGTAGCAGCAGCAGCAGCAGGAGGAGTAGTAGTAGTAGTAGTAGCAGTTTCAGTAGCAGTAGCAGTAGCAGCAGCAGCAGCAGGAGTAGGAGTAGTAGGAGTAGTAGGAGTAGTAGTAGTAGTAGTCGCCGTAGTAGTAGCAGTAGCAGTAGCAGTAGCAGCAGCAGCAGTGGTAGTAGTAGTAGTAGCAGCAGGAGTCGTAGTAGTAGTAGTAGTAGTAGTAGTAGTAGTAGTAGTAGTAGTGGCATGAGGAGGATGAGGAGGAGGATGAGGAGGAGGAGTAGGAGTACGAGTAGGAGTCTAGTCTAGGAAATTAGGAGTTCAGGAGCAGGAGGAGTAGTAGCAGTGGTTGTTGTTGGTTGTGGTAGTAGGAGGAGCAGCAGCAGCAGCAGCAGTAGTGCTTTTGGTAAGACTTCCAGGAATGAAAGCAAACCATAGAAGAGGGCCCCCAAAAAACTATGCGAAACTATGAAGGGGTTGGAAATAGATTCGCGGTCATGGACACGTTAATAAATACCAATCATAAGGTTGGAACATTTTTCCGGGTAGTGCCATGGTAGTGCCATATGTAGGTATGCACACAAGTTTACATGCAGTTATTGTATAATCAGGAACAAAGACTTTGTGCATGTGTTCCCTCATTCTAGTAAACCTTAGTGAGTGTATTGCTATGTCAGGAACAGGGGGAATACATCATGGATAGACTGAGGGGCGATGTTCACTTTTTGGTTTGATTGACTAGTTTTTGGCAATTGTCGGGGCTGTTACATGCCCACCAGTTGCCCAACAAAACGGGGGGGGTTGCCCGGACTGCCACATGTTTACAGGGTATTCTGGGTTTCGGGACGCTCAATTTATCGTCTTGGAGGTCGGTTTACGTGACTAGCAACACGAACAAAACTGTCCCAAGCCCCCCCCCCAACCCCCCAGAGAGGCTGTGCAAGACACTTGTCTGGCAGCTCAAATGTACAGTGACCCAGCATGGCTCAATTGGGCAGAAGACTGATGTCTGTGGCGCAAAAGAATCCTGGATGTGCAGAGCATTGAGCAGGTGGGAGGACGGGAGAGACGACGGGACTCACTTATCTTTGGATTGTCTTAAAATGCATTCCAGTTATCGTCTTGGAGTTAGTGAACTTCAAAACATTCCAAAACGATAAGCAGAGCGCCCCGAAAGCTAGAATACCCTGTAAAGCGCATGGTCTTCTCCCCTTTGCATGTGGCAGCCGGGGCAAACCCCCCGGTTGTCCCAACGTGTTGCTACGAAAATTTGTGTTGTTCTCCGACGTTTCCTAATTAAATGCATTTGTTTAATGTTTCAACATGACAATGAGGTTCAAAGCTGCATATTTGATTTGGTGAATGCTGCAAATGCCCTGATTGGATGACGTCCCCTTGGCAATCTTCTGTGACACCAAAGCTGGCTGAGGTCTAATCCGTCGAACTCGCCAGTCTTGAGTAGCACTTTGCCATGGCCTCAGCAACCGCCAAGGCACCATTCGGAGAACCACTCTATATCCAGCGCATCATGCAGTGGTGGTGGCGGAACTCACTAAAAGTAAATGCAATGATACTGTTGTACAAGTTGTCCCGGCGCAGTGGGATGATCACCCAAATTCACAGATGACGGATGAGTACCGATCCAACCTGGGTTTGCGGTGCAGGATTTCCTGTACTGGTAGTTGCGTATGGTCTTGGTCACAGGGGCAGCAATTGTCGCAGTGGGTGCCCTGCGCAGAGAACTGAAGGACTCATTGAGGGTATGTGATCCAGTGCTATAAATTGGGTTGTTTGAGATTGAATCCGTAACGTGTTTGTAAACCTACTCACTTTTTTTTGTGGCTTGGTTTGTGCCAGCACATAGCCTGTCCAATTTGTTGGTTGTCAGAGCTCGCCTGTGTGAGAAAGAACTGCAAATTCAACATTCAGGAATGCATATTGAATATTTATATACTGATGTCCAGATGAGTGTCAATTCCTCTCAAGTATTTTGTAACAATTTTGCATCATTTGCAGTGAACACAAGCACGAATCTTCGCCATAATGTTGTATGCGTTCCTCCATGTTCCTCCTTTTTGTCAAGTGCACATGGATCTTGCGGTTTATAAACGTTTTTGAGAGCAAAACGACGGGAACCAGTTTGGTAGTTGAATGTGTGCAGGACGCTTGCAACTACAGTAGCAGAGGAGGAAACGACTCCAGCCACTGGTGTTTGTGCCCGGTTACCACTTGTGCACATCACCCAAATTTCGAGACGTAGGTCTTGAAATTTCAATTCTTCATCCTTGCCATTGTGCCCAAGATGAGGGCTGCATGTTTTTGTTTTTTTGCATGTGGTTCACAAGTTGGATCAGGTACACATTTGGGTTCGCGAGGTTGCCCTGCCTGAGGTCAGTTAAGTCATTTTGGTTGTGGTGTCTAGTATAGTAGATGTTCCTTGGCTTGTCACCAGACCACACCCAAGCCAATAGCAGCACTTATCAGACCTATCACAAGCTTTCACAGAACTGTCAAAAAGTGATTTCCGAAGGCTTGTAGCCCCGGCCTATAGCTGCATATGATATAGCTGCAAAAGTAGCCATCTAGTATTAGTTCGTGACACTAAATGACAAGTTGATGTTTCAGGACGCAGGGAAACTGGTGTTTTGTCCTTTTTCCTGTCAGAATTTCACCTGCTACAGTATCTCCTCCAAGAGAGCAGGAAGCGCTCCTGCAGATCAAATGAAGGCGCTTTTTGGGGCCCGGCCTGGGGTCCGGCCCCGGCCCAATGGTTCTGCCCAAAGGCAGCGCCTTTGTGAAGACGACTTGGGTCACTTGTGCTTGGCGAAAGCTGATGAGCTTGTGGCCTCTGCAGCGCCCTGGCAACCGATGGTCGAGACCTTCTTTGTTTGTTTCTATTAGAAATGAGGCTAAGTGAAAAAACATGAAGTTTCTATCAGAATTGTGTTCCAGCTCCTATTTTGAGGATATTCAGATGTACCTTCGGTCCTTTGGTCGGTTTCCTTGGGTCCTTAGACTCAGGGTTTAGTATAGTGTGCTTGGATTTGTTCTTTCAATGGGGCCATTCCCACACTGGAGCATCTCTGCAGGGACCACTCCGAACAATCCGGAGACACACCTTCGATTGTCACACTTGTTTGTTTGGCCTGCCTTTGTTTAATACTGGTAGTTTGTTTTTTAATGTTTTTGTTGTCGAATCGGGCTGAACTAACAGTCCAGTCCTTCTTACGGCCCAGAATAAATGCTTGTCACTTGTCAAACCCATTTTGTCAAGACCGGTAAAGTTCAATATAGCTTTGTCAAGTGATTTGTTTTGTCAAATTTACGGTACTAGTACTCGGTACTCCAGTTCTTTTCACTACCAAGTAATGGCAAACATGTGTTTCCATGAAAGGCACTGCTCTTCAACCTTCGCTTGAACTGCGTGTCATGCTAACTATAACGCATATCTAATATCTATTGTAGTATGGGTTAGATAACATCCTGCCGCACCGCCAGGACTCTACTAGGTTACATGATCCATGAACAAATACCTACATGTTCTTAGGTTTACAAGTTCTGGGATTTTGTCCATCAGCGGGAACCAGATGCTTTTGGATGCTTTCGAGTCCAAGGTACCTCAATGATTCATGAAATCCCGAACTGTATATTGGGCCACCGCAGTTTGCAAGACTGACCTGTGGGCTGGCTCGGAAGTTTCAGCTGTGCACATGATTGATTCTAGTCCCAGTTTTTGGCCAGTTGTCAGAAGAAAGGTTGGTTGTCTATATAATTTGATATATGTACTGTACACATAGTGGTCAGTTGTCCCCATATAGATAGAAATGGTGTCCAATACTTTTTAGAGTGGATATACTGTTCTATATAGTTGGGGTGTATATTATATATATAGTTATTATAATACCTATTCAAATATATCCACCATCAAATTTAAATCTATCGCAGGATCCGTCCACTGATATATCCATCCATCTAAGACTGCTCTTTGGTACTGCATATCAAGGTTCGCTTCACTTTCGTTTGCTGTTCTCAGCCTCTCAGCCTGCGCAAAGCAGCTGAGGCCCGCCTGTCAGGCAAGAGGAAACACGATGTGGTGCGGCAGCTCAGGACGACTTGAAATGTTTAATCTATATATATATATACAGGTATATATATATATATTATTGTGTTGTGCAATGAGGTATGGGTGTTGTGATGTGTGTTGATTGCATTGGAGGCTCCCACTGTCGCGAAGTGTCACTTCCCATAGAGATCCAGGATTGTCGAAACTAGAGAAACCTTGGCCAACTTGTTGCACGTGTAGCCCTGCTTTCTTCAAGCAGGTGCTGCCTGGGATTAGTTTGCTCCGTTGGTTCCAAGGCTGTGCATAATTTGGACAAATCCAGCGTGAGAGGATCCTCACTTTCTCAAGGAAATCCTCAGCACCTTCTTAAGAAAACACATTTTTCGAATTGAAACTCTTCTAGGAGCAAGACTTTGATTTAATGCTGTAGGAAGACACCATTGATTTTCAAACACCATGGTTTTGCACTGCTTCGCAGTTCAGCAGTGCATTGAACACATAAGTGATTTGCATCGGTGTTCTCATGGTGTTTGTGAACAAGATGTCAGATCCTAAATCTCTTCGCCTGTCAACACTCCAACATCAACACAAGGTGGGCAACCACAAGACTGCGGCGTGTTCGAAAGTTTGTGTGCGCTATTTTAATTCAATTTTGTGTATAACAAAAAAAATCCAAAGGTGTCAATGCAGCCAATGCACATTCTGCACTCATGAATGCGTGCAATTCAGAGTCCTCCCTCTTCCTGTTGAAAGCCACTGGGGGAATGGATTCGAACCGCTTTTGTGCCCTTGGACACTCCCGATCCTAGAGGAGAAAGTCGAGGAGTTAACTGTTCCAGACGTCCCCTTCCTTTCGAAAGGAGGTGTGAACTCCACTTGACAACGGTGGCCTTTTCCGTTTCCCCAAAAACGCTCCGTTCCCCACGAGAACCGGGGCGATTGTCCCAAAACCACACGTGGACGAACTCGTCTCGTTCGCCGGTCCTTTGTTGTCGACCGGAGGTCATGGACAGCTTGCGCACCAAAGGCGGCCGGCGCTTCTTCCGGAAGCTGCTCCGGAACGAGATCCGGGCCACCTCCTCGGGGACACGGTCGTGCAAGAGCGGTACCGGGCCGGTACTGGGGGATGGCAGGTCTCAGCTGCAGTGGCATCAATCCTTTGGTGTTGGCATGCAATCAAGGTACGCAATCAGTTTCCATTTGGGAAGGCTATCCGCCCAGTTCTGTTGTGGATTTGTATGTTGCCTTGCTAAACCGCTACGTCATTCCGAAAGATTTTCCGGATGTAGACTTCTTCGTGATTCGTGACTCATGTCACTAAGTGGTTAGAATGAATTCTGGGGCAACACTCCAAAGCCATCAAAACCGAAAGCAAGTCATCAGTGCCTGATTCACCTCCCTCGAGGTCAGATGGTCGCGCTCGCGATCGCTTGCGGCTGCGTCTGCAGCTCAATAGAAAAAGTATGGACTGAGACTTTGTAGATGATGAGATACAGTTTTTTTGACGTGTTCATTTTGGGTGCCTTTTACACTAATAGTAGAGGATAGTAGAGGTATGATCAGGATTGATCAGGTATTCACTTGTGTGGCTCGTCATGATCGGGTTTTCCTTCAGCAGCTTTCTGCCGTTCGTGAGCCGCTTGCCTTTCCGCAGATGTGCACAAACAGCATTTTCAACACTTCAAGCGAGCTGAATTTCTCGCCATTCCGTTCCCTCACCATTTTATCGTGGAACAGAGGTCACCGAAAACTCATTGTCTAAGTGTGTGCGCGCTAGTTGGCGGCAACATGTGTTTTTGACTTGCAAAACACACCCTACTTCTACACTGAACTTGTTGGCACTGCAACTCAGAGATGATGTTGAACACTTGTGAACATATTTGTTCGACTCCATTTCTTCAAGTCCGCCCTTGAAGCCCGATCACTATCAATCCAGACCTAGGCCACGAGCCGAACCATCCAGTGGCACTCGTGGAGAAAAGACAGTGGCACTGCCTGCGGGGCCTGTGGTCAGTGAAAGCTACGACCTGTCGCTCGCGGGGCTGCGTCATGCTGCGTCTATACGTGTGTGGTCACAGCGAACCCCCCCCAGGGTCGACTGTGGGGGAGAAAGTTTAAGAAGACCCAGGCATGGGCTCTCTCGATCATGGGACCAGTCAGACTGCGTCACAGGTGAGGCACTGCTTCACATGCTGAGAAATGGCAAACTGACTGATGCGTCAGAGAGCTACAACTGGAAAATGTTTATTCATAGAATCCCTCTGCTTTAGAGCAGAACTTGGACTTGTGCAAACCTTGAAATTGCAGTGTTCACATCGCACTTTGAACTGTGAACACTTTGTGGTTCTCAATTCTTGGCTTTGTGCATCATTTTGTGCCACATCACATCACATTTGATCCACCCATCAGACCATTTCTTTGAAGTAAAAGCTACTCTCCGTGTGTGCTAGCCATTCCGTGAGTACACATCTCAACCCCTGCTGAGCTCTCTCCTCTCCACGGTGTAGCCTTAACATACGTCGACTTACAAACACCACAGCTATTACTCCGGGAGAACAACACATGATCCGGTTCACCATGTTCACGTCTGCTTCGTGCGTTCTCGCCATCCTGTGGTTTGTCCAGGTACAGACCATCCGCTCGACCCACTGGGTGCGGAGCCCGGAAGAAAGGACGGCCGGGTGGAACAACGCCCTTGTGGCAAATTGGCAGTTCGAATTCACACCAAATTTATAAAACACCTGAACCATGTCTTCCATGGCCATGGGTCTGGTTGAATTTATTGCCCGAGGGTGGTCATTCGGAATTGGTTGCCATGTGTTGCTGATGGATGTGAGAGTGGGTGAATTTAGGTATCTGTCTAGAATCGTTACACGGGAGAAAACGATTCTTTTCTAAAGCTATCAAAGCTGTGATGGTGCTGTCATAGCCTTCCATTGCTCCACCTGCAACCATACTTCTTTCTGTTGTTTCATGTTGTTAAAAGGATTCTTTTGTGAATGAGAGAAGGAACACCTGGAACACCTCACTCCATGACTCACTTCATCTCCCCCTTTCGCCTTTCGCCCTTCAGCAGGTGAGGAGTTTATCTCCCTGGTGGCCACAGCCTTGGACTCCAGCTTCCGACGGGTGGAGGTGCGACCGGTCGAAGCGTTTGGAAGGTGTTGAAAAAGAGGTCAACATCACTGAGCATGAGTTTTTAGCATAAGGTTCAGATAGTAGAGGAAGCTTACTGCTGGAAGGGGCTATCATTGCACCAGCGGCGACATTTCAACATGACAAATATATCCACGCGACGCTTACGACAGTTTCGGCACCAGTGGCCGGTTGTTGATTTGTTGTGGCACCCAAAGACGGTGCTTCCACTTCCATCACTGGGTGGAGTCAGAGATGGTGTTTCTGGACAATTTGAGTTCATGGATTCGTCGGAGAGGTGACTGTGCAAATCACGAACCGAAATGGGTAGTTTTGATGTAGCTCGCATTTATGTACCCAGGTGAACAGGGGTGAAGAGTAAAGTATGTGAAGAACCATTGGCTGGGTTTTCGGATTCTGCAGAGTTCTTTGGTTTGGGTGAGCCTGTTGGTGCCCAAACCAGCTTTTGGACGTGAATCTTAACCTAGTGCTCCATGGCCTAGAAGTTTGTTGCGAGTTCCAAGCCTTGGCAAAGAACCTGGATTTTCATTTGCTGCAAACCAAAGGTTGTGTTCAGGCTTTGACCCCACAAGTGGCTATCATTGCATTGGAACAGTCTGCGTGTGCTGGGAGGCTGATTGGGTGGACATGGAATGCATTTTGGATTCCACAACAATGATGGAAAACGGACGACAACGGCATAGATCCCTGATTTTGTGCTTCACGTCATCCATTTCAGTGAGGCTCGTATTGCACTGCGAAAAAGCAACATGAAAGGAAGTGAGCTGAGATGAGCATGGATTGTGACCAAGTCCTTCGGGGCCTATACTTTTAAGGGCGTTGATATGAAGCGCTCCAATTTATGGAATGTTCTTTTGGGTCCATGGAATATGAGTTTTGCAGAGTTTTGCTGAGTTGCTTATGTCGGGGATGCTGGGGTGCTACATGGTCAGGACAGGGAATGGTCAGAGGAATGCTAGGGCTGTATATTCTGGGACCAGTTCTGGGACCCTATCCCCTTGCATATCATCTGGGGTGTATAGTAGAAACCACCACTTTCACAGCAGTGTCCCTTGAGTATCCTTGGGTGTACAGGATGTATTTAAGGGGAATCTGACAAGGCACGCAAGGAAGAACATCCTAAAAAAAGGGTGTATCCCATTACCCGAAACAGCTGTTAAAATGCTGATTCACTCATTGGGGAAAGGTTTGCAACCAGGTCCCATCATCCACGAATGCCCAGTTTGGGCCGTGGAATGCCCAAACTGGTACAGTAGTGGATATTGCATGATATACCTTTATAATATACTTGTATAACCCCAATCCGTAATGGTAGTATTTGTATCTTGGTCGGTGGTCTTCTATTATTTCGTTAACATCCGACCAACCACCAGTAGACCTTCGTTGCGCAAGCGCACCGGAAGCCGAGCGTAGCCAGGGGGGAAGTGCCCTCCCTGTTGTTGAGGCCGGAAGTGTTGTTGAGTTCTGAGTGCGTGTGGAAGTCTTGGTGTGCAGTTATTTGAAGATCTTGGATGTCAGAAATACACAATAGAAATCTTGATTCCACAAGACAAAATTACTTAATGCCAGGGTTCCCCAACAGCAACTCGTGGATCAGTTGCCTTTGAAAAAAAAACAAACATGTGAGATTGTATGTTGAGGTCGTTCATGCACAATTGTGAGTTCTTGTGTTATCGGAGGTATCCCGTACCTACAACCTACTAAGATCCAGTATTGGAATCAACCATGTTTAACAAGTTGTTTAACATATGTTGAGATATTTTGAGAGGTTGGCAATTCTTCCAAAGCCTTTGGTAGGACTCAGCTTCCAGGATCTTCCAGGTATTTCTTTAGGAAAGGGTGTGTGCGTACCCCACCGGAACTTGTTTGTAGGAAGGCAGGGCTGGTATCCTCTTGTCCTCGGACACTTGCTGATCGTAATCGCCATTGTCATGTTGAAGTTGCGATTGATACCGCTTAATGCTTGGGGGGGGATGAATCGTCCCTTGCAATTTGATGGTGAGGGCAAGAGATGTGCCGTTGAGAAGCTGCCTAGACCAACTCGAACAAACGAGGTTTTTAAAGGTGCGGATTTGTGTGTCCATCAACGTCTACGACGGTGAAGACGTTTTATCAGAGACAGAGAAACGTCTGCCAGGCCTTTATGGAGATTAGCCGCCTCAAAGAGGAGCAAAGTGCTGTCAACTGCTGCAGGTCTACCACCACAACATGCAGTCGGCTTTCCCCCTGTGAAAAAAAATATCTGCAGTTTATGATACAGTGCATATTTTGTGATTTGTGGTCTGCCGGTTGATATGATTGACTGGACACACAGAATTGCCACGTCCACAGGGAAAAAGGCCATGCGGCCATGCGGGTCAAGAATATACCAGGACCTTGGACCACCTCTCGTCCCCTGGAAAGAACATATTTGCTTCCAAAGTGACTACTGTCCATCATCCCACCATCTCCCATCCGTGAGTTGACCAACACCCCCCAAGATATTGGGGATCTTCGGAGATAGTCACTTTCTGGGCCATGTGGGGGGGAAAGCCCTTACGATCGTCGTCCAAGATCCAGCCAGGATTTGGCACCAGTGGATAGAACAAGTACCCAAGGCGCGATGAGTGCTATGATTTGGAGTGTAGGACGATGGGGATGGTGGGATCGCAGAAGGATGCAGGATGAGGTCAAAGGTTTGTAGGAGTTTTGCAGAGTGCTCTTGTAAGGGTTGGGAGGGCGCTAGAAACTCGTTGTGACTGTTGTCGCTCGTGAAGGCAGCCACTATAATGTGTCAGAGAAAGATATACACTACTATATACAAACAAGACTCCTGCTTTTTGTTGGAGTGTCGTGTTCTTGTTTACTGCTAGTAGCTCATAGCAGTTAGTGTTGTTGTTCTCGAGCACTCTGGAGGCGACGAACACCGACGACTCCTGGGGTGATGGTTTGAACATCTCATCCTGCAGGGTCTCATGGTCTCACATTTCGGCAGGGTCCACAGCTGGTGGAGAAATTGGTGAAACATGTTTGTTGATCTCGCAATAAATTTCACACAAGACACAAGACATGATGTGTTCTTAAGTGCTAAACGGTTGTGACTGTTGTGACTGTTATGTCAGAATTGGTTGACGTCCTCACGTCCTCGTCCGTGTCCTGCTTGAACTGAAGTTGTTGACTCCTTGAACGGCAGGACATCGTTGTCGATTGTTAAGGTGACACGCTTTTGCCGCCCTTCAAACAACACATGGCGGTAAACACAAAACATATGAACACCTCAAAGGCCCCCCCAGACGGGTCATATACAGCTTGGCCACATGGGTGTGTATTTGGAAGGAAATTAGGCCCGCCCGTTTTTTGGAAGGTCTCCTTCGGCCTGCCAAGTAGGCATCCATGCCTAGTGGCCTAGTGCCATCGTCAAAGACGACGGTCATCACCGAAGATCTCCGTGTCCATCGTCAGGTGCCCGTCCGAGAAGAAGGGCTGGGCCTGCCCAAGGATGAGCGTGTGTTTGTGGGGATCGATCCTGCGGATATTTGAGGATCGATCTTGGGTGTGTCTGTGTGTGTGTTTGCTTTTGTTTGTGTGTTGGTGGGCCGGGTGCGTACTCAAGTTGCTTCTATTTTGGACGGAAGGATGTTATTGCCTTTGGCAATACATGGATGGTGATCTAGAACTGTCACATGTGGTGGACTTTCACATGGCAAACATAGCAACTTGTCTCAACAGGAAGGAGCCTGAAACCTCAGATTCTTGCAATTGGTGTTGCCAAGACTGAGATGCCAACTGACTTGCTGGATCATTGATTCGATCGGCTTTTTGCTGCCGACTGTAGGTAAAGTTGTCATAAAGAAGAACGGATGTCAAACACATGTAAGGATATGTCATATTAAGGAACTTAACTTTATTTACTTTTGTTTTATACAATCTCAGAAGGACAAGCACAGCTGGTAGTTCTTTACTCGAGACTGCAGCCTCCCACCATTTGGCAGCAATTTTGTCCATCCGTAGCTAGTAGGCTAGCAGTGATAACTGGGCAGTGTGGGAAACCAGTGAACCGCAATGTAGAGTGTTGTGCTTCCTTTCGCAGCAGGGGATCTTGGGATGTCAACCCCAGGATGTGGATGTGTCAGACACTGCGTTGACCCTTGCGGGACTCGACAAAATGATTGATACACAATGCATTGATTATTCATGCATTCACGTGGCGGTTCATGTACCATGATCTTCGCCTGGTGTTTGTATGATAATTTGTATGTTCAACTGTTCAACTACTGGTTTTCGAGGGCTTGATATTTGTTTCACCTACATACGTACCCAATCTTCTAGCTTTCCGCTTTGGATTTTCAGGAAGGAGTCCGTTGGCTTCAATCCCACACCCCGTTGCGCCTTTGGAAACTCCAAAGCTGCTGTAAGACCAATGCTCTAAGTCGCATGGATTTTGGCTCCAAGTCGCTTAAGTGGATGCGCAAACCCATTCTTTGATGGGGCTCTGGAAGATCCATTGATTTTCTGTATATACATTACCTCTTCACCTCTTCAAACAGGACTGCCACTCACAAGGATGCCGAACTACTAGCCGACCGCATCAAGAACCAATTTGTGGATCGGGTGCTTCAATATATATATATATATATAATAATTATAATGTAGAATAAGAAGACACAAACACATCCAACACGAGTAGCATTTGACATGGACTCCTCGAAACATCTGCCATCCAGGATCTAACGGAACCATCCCTCGCGAAAGAGGAAGCGAGACTCCCAGCACTCGTACTCCAAGCACCCAGTTCAGCGGTCGCGAGAGAGGCAGAGCAGAAGAACGGGACGGGAATGGGTGGAGATGCCTGGAGTCAGTCAAGCCATAGGACCTATTCAAAGTACAGGAAGATGATTGACACAGATGTTTTGTGCACGCTCCAAGTTCTTTGACCATCAACTCCGCCAAGATCAAGATGCCGCATGCATACAGCTCAGAATCAACAACATGTGTTTAAGTAGTGGAGCTCATTGTCAGAGCGCAGATGATTAAATTATGTAACCAACGTAGCCCCTTCCAGCAGATGTTGTTTCTTTGACGAAAGACTATGCAGCCGTGACTAGGGGTGCAAAGTAGGAGCATGCAGGATCAGGAGCCGAGAATCACGACCAGGCGCTCACTCGCAGAGACAAGTATTTCCGGTACTTGAAGTCGATGGACAGGGCAAACCCATTATATATATGTATGATTCCGATTCCTGTTGTTCAACCATACCACACCTGACAAGGAACCTCTTTTGGAAAAAACATGGCGGCCGAACAATGAAGACCAGATCAGATTAAGCCAGGCCACCGACTGTAAATGTTTGTTTAAGATATGTTTGGCCTTTGCCAGCCTTAACACCATCAACTGTTCCCATCTTGAAGCCAATCCAGGATCCGGAAGAAGCCCTTGTGAAAGGTGAAGCAGCACCCAAAGCGGTCGCAAGAGAGGAAGTACAGAACCAGGTCTTGGGGACACGGGTTTGAGGATCGGAGATTAGAGAGGGACAACAGCTTAACATATTAGACTAGAAGATATGGCCGTTTGTGCAGCAACATTTATATAGTTATATGCTATAATTAGTAATGACTGTTACATGTTTATATAATGCAAATACAGTGTTTTACAGACCATTTATGTATGTATTAGTCATTATCCATCTATATGTTTTAGCAACCAAGATCAAGATGACATTGCATGCATAGAGTTCAGAATCAGAGGCAGATCGCAATTGTTGATGGGGTGTTTCTTACTCACCGTGATCAATTCTACCCTCCAAGAAACAAGCGCAGGCCTTTCCAAAGAAGCACGTTTTGATAATTGCGGCAACGTAGTGTAAGTGCCACAGAGTCCTCTCCCAGTGAAGTTTTACCTTCCGAGCTGTCTCATTTTTACTGGAAGTTACCTCAACTCAACTTGGACCTACACTCAACACTGCTTGTAGCGTGACAACCTACTTTGCTTCCGCGCCCGCTCAGTTGAATTGCTGGTAGGTCCCTGGTAGGTCCTGTTTGTGCCGCGTCTGGCCCTTCAGGGGAAGAAGGCATCCAAAAAGCACAAGCTACAGGCGCGGTTGTTTCGACAAGCCAACATTCAGCACCTCCTCCAGCGTTTTGGCAACAGAAACTCCATAAGCTTTTTCATATGGTTTGCAGCTCAGCCCCACGCGTGGCAGAATTGCGCTGCACAAGCGCATCATGGCAGCTTTTCTCGTGGCAAAAGACCGGCAACAGTGGACTGCAAGGCTACAGCTTGCAGTCTGCCGTGATTCCATTGGGAGACCCTTTTTCCACCTTACTCTGTCGGCTTTGCAAGGATTGGAGTCGACAGTCCCTGGCCATGCTCCAGGAGATGGGTCAGGGCCTCGTAGGAGCCTTTTGAGGGATGGGTTCGGGGCTCGTTTCACTGTAGGACTGGAAGAGCCTGTTTTGATGAGGCATTTGGTGGCCCTTGGTATCCAGGGCTTTGAATGATAGGACAGGAGCATATTTGGACATACTCTTTGAACATGGAGTTCACAACAGCATTAAACGTCCTGCAAACAACACGACCTCGTAGATTTGAGAGTTTTTTTGACTACTTACTCACCAGTCGCGACTAAGGTTGGAGCCGCCCCAAGCACTGAGGGGACCAACGCGGTCGGTGGGAACGCTGGGACCTTCACGATCGGATTCAGTCGGGGATGTACGAGTGAAGCATAGTGAAGCCCAACGCCTCACTCTGAAAAACAAAACATTATGGTCTTATGGTGCAACTACAACAAACTGAGGATTTGTTAACAATTGTGTACTTGTGTATGATTTTATGCCAGCTCATGACTATTCATTATTTGATTCAGATTATTTTGTGTTTAAGTTAGTTCTACCATGTTCTACCCTTTGGAATTTTAATAATGACACACCAAAACATCCTCACATATCCTCACCATAAGAGTCATCAACTGTAAAGACATGAATAATATGATATAAGTTTGAAGGACGTAATCCTTACAACAGCATCCTAGATTTAGAGGTGAATCATAAGGGACAGATGTGATTCTAAGGGCCCCAAACATATGATCATTATGTTATTTTCCTTTGGGTTTCTCTATTATAATTGTTATAGCTATTTCTTATCGTATGGGCCCTTTAAGAACCCCTTAAATATAACTTTGATAGATGATGCCAACTAAAACCAATAAATCCTTCAAGATGTGTTACTTCAAGATTCAAGTTGTTCTACAGGACTGTGAAGCACAGATGACACCCGTGGACCAAGCCAAGCAAGGCAAGCATCATAGGCCACGTCAAGAGGTGGAACATCCATTGGATTGCTTATGACATTATGATTTTTTGGCCTTTCGAGCTTTCGAGCGCCTTGGAAACGATTCCCAGCCTCCCTGTGGTCTCAGTTTGAATCGAAGAATGCCGGGGCCTCGTGGATTTCACGACGCTTCGACGAGATGCGAGATGCTGCGCGCCGAACTTGGTGCGACGTCTTTGTCTTGCAATGTGTTTTAAAAAAACATGTCCAGCAGTTTTCGGGCCGGCTTGGACAACCAAAAGTGAGTCTCCTCTCCGCCTTTGAAGAAGAGATAGGGAATGACCTGATCCGGTTAGGTCATTGGGTGGATAGAAGCTGGTGCAGAAAAAATCAACAACTACAAAATTGGACCCCGAAGAGAGACTTCAGCTTCCAGGTGGGCAACCTTTGGTGTAGTTCAAAGATCAGATTGGCAACCTTTGGCACTCATATTCCATGGAGACTACTCACGCAAAGGGTTTTGCTGGGTAGATCTTCATCAAGTCTTTGAAACATCCAATGCAGCTTCGTTGAGAATCAGTATTGACATGTTGATCTTACGTATTGATCTATCAATCTGTAGTGGATCCTAGCGAAGAACACAACAATACAAAGCAAGTGTCCCTAATTACAGACAACAGCTCCCAAGCTTTAAGATGCTTTAAACGAATGGTGGGCAGACTTGACTACAACTTGTGTTTCTCTCCCTGCAGGCGTTTGCTGTCTCAAGTCGAACAGCCAGTGGATTCCGGAATGTGCAGAGTTTCAGTTGAGCTCCAGAACCGCAAGACCGGGAAGGATGTGATGAGCATAAGGTGGGGCAAAAGGGTCTCCATTGACTCTCCATTGACTGACGAGCCAGGCCTCGGCATTCTTTGCTCAGGGACAAATTGAGGTAGTAGCCTTTGCTCTGATCAGCAGCAGCAGCAACCAGGAGGCCCTAAACTGATGCTGCAAAGCCACACACTTCGGAACATACAGTCTGTAATCTGCCACGCCTGAGTCAGTTCCGGAAATACCAATTTCTCCGGATCTGCTCTTCGCCAGCATGCCATGCATGCCCCCTGCTCGCGCGCCGCAGCGCTGGCGGCCGGACTGGCACTGGCAGCGGGACTGGCGGGGGTTCCGGCGCTGGGACCGGAGCCCCTCGGCGTCGGGGGTTTTGTGCCTGACCTGGATCAGCAAATTCAGTCCTGCGCTCTGAGAGAAGTGTTGGCAACTGATGTGTCAGAGGTTGAAGAGCTGAGGTTGCTCCACAACTTCAACCTCTCCAGTGTCTCGCTGCTTGGGGATGAGACCTCAGTGCTGGTGGCCCATGCGCCTCAGCTGCGATCCGATCCGGCGTCCAAGGACAGTCGGACAGTCGCGCTTTGAAGGTCGTGCATGGTCGTGCAGGGCATGGGCTCTACTTGGTGCTTTAAGGTTCTTTTTTAGCACCTAAAGCTCCTAGAGCCCAGACATCCTGGCCTTCTAAGCGTCAGGCCACCAGATGTTTTTCACGGGGTGGATGACCCGTGGCATGGCCCTCGGGTTGTTGGAGGCATAGGTCCTGTAGGTGAAAGATCATGAAAGATGGAACATAGACGTCTCGAGTCCCGAGTCCCGACATTCTGGTGAATTGTCGCTGCATGTTGGTGGTTCAATTGCAATCGATTTGATCATAGGTATTTCATGGTATTTCTGTGTAAGACTCTTTGCTTGCATGATTCTCTATGCGCTGACTTTGCCCACCCTGGAAGTACCGACAGCTTCTACATGTCACCCGTTCTTCATCCCAGGTCCAAAGCGCCGAGGCGGGTCCACGCCGCCGCACCGTCAGGACTCATAGATGATGAATGACTCCATGTTGTGAATGCATCCGCAGGATGATGATTTACATTTGATGGACATTAAGAAGCACACTAGATCTGTCCAATCAATTTTCCAATCTACTGTGATGCTGGCAAACCGGAAAAAAGTAACAAACGGTGCGCAGAAACGCATCGTTTGTAGAATGAGATCCACTGCAACTCTGGATCCGCTCCTGCACTCGTGTGCTCGATTCCGCAGACATCTGCGGATCCATGGTTTCAGACTCAACTGCTTGGAGATATCATCATCCAGACATTGGATTCCTTGCCGGTTTTGTCCAACGAATCAAGTGAAGCTACAGACCAAGGACTTTACTTCCAGACATGCTCTTTTTCAAGCATTGGGAATTCGGAAGGTGAAACCTTCAGATTTCCTTTTCATTAGAGAGGATTCATCCTCCTCTGTGTTCGGGTGCAAGACCAGCGCCGGAAGCTGGGACCAGCGCCCGGCAGGTGCGAAACCAGCTAGGCTAAGCTCGTTGGGACTGGACAAGACGCATGCGGACAAACCGATGTTCACGGTATTATTGGTACTGATTCAGTTCGAGGTGTTATTTGGTAAGAGTCAAACCACACCCAGGTCTCATGGATTCCAAGTGAACTCAACCAAAGAACAGGGCGTACAAAGAATAGCCAAAGTTATTTTATGTTGTTTTCTGTAAATGTATGGTATAGGTAACCCTTAACCAGCTACAACCCAACATAATTATTGCAGTATACATGTTCTTTTGAGGTTTACACAATCATATGTTCAAGATCCAAAATGACCAAAGCTTATTGCACCAGCACAACAACACCCCTTGCCAATCAGTCTTCCCTGTTCAGAACGGCAAAAACCACAAAGATGCATTATACTGTAGATTGATACATTTTATATAATTGAGATGTTTGTTCCTGGGATTTTGCTACCCAGGCGGGCGCGGCGCTACACGGAACCACGACCCCTTTGACCCCTTCGAACGACCGGAAGCGGGGCTTGTTTGAGGCGTGGGAACTGCACTTGTCTCGCCACACCCGGAATGGTCTCGAGTGGAATCACTCCGAGGACCCGAGAAGACGGGCTGCCAAACGGGCTGCATGTGATCGTCCATGTGCTCGCTGGTTTTGGTGATCCTGTGAGGTCGAGAGGTCATGGGTTTGGGCCAGGTTTGCTTCAGATAGTTATAGATGCAGTTGTGCCACTCAGCAGTTGTGCCACTTGGCCGATGTTCACAATTTGACCTCTATTTGACCAGTGCCCGAAGCCCTTTAGGCCTTGGCTTCCTGTCATTCACCACACTTCATTGGTGTGATTGCAGAGTGACAAATCAAGAATTAGCCCATGAGAAGATATCAGATATCAAGTTTAAATTAAGTGGATAAGTGGCGCCAATCTACAGATTTGTGACGTTGTTGCCTTGTATTCGCGTGAATCCAGAAACGGGAGAAGTAGCGTATCTTATAGTGAATTTGTCAACAGCAACATAATGGTGTCTGATGATGTCTTGTGCAAAGGCTGAAAAAACGAATCTATACCAGCGCCACAAAGTGTGGATAGTTATTGGATATAGGACATCAGTAAACACATGGTCCAGGCGGGATCTATCAACCACCCGAACTGGGTGGTGCTGGTAACCTGGACTATCTGGACTCTTCCTTACCCCGGCCGTGTCGTGGTCTTTGGTAGGTAGACCTTTTCGGAGGGTCCATTCATTTTGTGTAGGCAGGGAAGAGGATTGAACATATGGTGTCGCTGAAACTTCTGAAACCAATTTATGACTCCACCAGGGACCTACATGGTAGGTGACTACCATGTAAGTCACTTACTGCAGTAAACCATTGTAGGTAAACTTCTAATGAAACTTCAATCTGCGGCGCTACATCGCCTCCTTATCGCCAGGAGACATCCACCTTCATCGCCTCCTTGTCGGGTCCGCTGGTGGGAACGGCCATTGCACGAGCGACCAGTGCGTTGCTCCTGGCATATGCCGAGGAGGGACAGGCGCGTTTTCTTTTTCGAAGAGGTATGTGCTTGCCTCACAAAGGTGGTTGGGTAAATGTTGCTTTCAGAAGTGGACAAACATGTGTGGTGGTTGTCGTGGTTGTTCTGAAGGGATGTGAAGGGGTTGCCAGTTGGTGATTTTTGAAGACTGGGAGAACATATCATTTTAGACTGGACTGAGTTTCGGTTCACCAGCTTGGATATGACACCAAATTGGTAGACCAAACATGGTCTTCAGAAGATTTACTTTTCACATGAGCACGCTGAGCATCAGGGACTCCCTCACTTGGGTCCTCCAGGCACACGAGAGAAACCCAAAAAGACAAAAAAACAACCGCAACAACCAACCAACCAACCGACCGACCGACCGACCGACCGACCGACCGACCGACCACCGACCACCAACAACAACCAACAACCAACAACCACCGTTTCATTCAGTCTTTTGGGTCATTCTTTAAAAACAAAAAAGTGTTTTCCAATGAATGAAATGCGTCTTTTCGAAGACAATGAGACCCGTCGATTCAACGAGCCACCAGGTGCAGCTCCATGCGCTGTCGCACGGAGGAGCTACCTCCTCCACGGCCGTGGCGGCGAATGCTACGGCGGTGCAGCTGGAAATCCATGAGGTCTGGAGATGGGGCCAGTGGGGCTAACTAAGTGGGGTGAGACCTAATGATACCACATGATACCTAATTATAAACTGTTTCACTTGAAATAGATCCTGTGATGTTTTTGTTTTTGTATAGATCTTGATAGACTTGGTGCAATGTGGTGCATTTCAGGGCGCGCCATCGGCCAATCAAAAAACACGCCGGCGACGGATTCGTCTGCCCAGAGGAACGGTTGGGGGGCGGAGCGGATAGGTCCGGATAGACGAATAGCTTCTTGTTACTACTAGTAGTAACAAGTGCCACGCTAGTAGTAACAGGTGCCTCACTAGTAGTAACAAAGAAGCTATTAGAATTAAACTTAAAATTAAATTAAAAGCTTCTTGTTACCACTAGTAAGGCACTTGTTACTACTAGCGATGCACTTGTTTCTCATAGGATCTTGTTACTACTAGTAAGGCACTTGTTACTACTAGCGACGCACTTGTTTCTAATAGCTTCTTGTTACTACTAGTAAGGCACTTGTTACTACTAGCGATGCACTTGTTTCTAATAGCTTCTTGTTACTACTAGTAAGGCACTTGTTACTACTACCTTCTTGTTTATAGACCATATGCATCGATATGTTTTGGCTTCATACCAACAATATGCAGTTTTGGCTTTGTTGACTATGTTGATTCCTCGCTTAGTTCTTAGCTGTAGAGACAACCAAAGGATCTGGCTTTAATCATCTATGTGGAAAGACCATTTGTGTATCCGCTTTCGTCGGCAACCTGGCTATGTTGTCCCTGCTCAGAGCGCGATGCCGGAAGTGCAAATGTATTGTGTTTCGTAGCTCAGGAGCTGGCCGTGCTTTCCATGCTCGAAACTGGTCTGGGGCGTCTTTCCGCGTGCAGCGTTGAGACGCAGGCACCGGGAGACCACAGTTGAAGTAATGTTGCAAAGACGTATGTTTAATTTCTACATGAACTGAGCAGACATGGTTTGGTGGATCAGGGCTGCCAAATAATTGTAGTTGGTCTATACTGGGACCTTCCACTAAACCACGTTTGCGACACTGAGTATGCATTGGCAAGTCAGGGTGAAAAATAATGACATGTATTCTGTATTTGTTTATGACTTGGACTTATACCAACAGCCTTGGCTCCAGATGTGAGGTGTTCATTCAACACGATGGGGACCCGTCTCCTCTATGTATCCCTCCAACCCCTCCACGAGTCCCTCGGTAAGTCCATGGGAGTGCAGCCAAAAGAGAGTTCAGGGTGCTCCAATACTGCAAGCAAGCTAATTTGCTCCGCAACTCACATTTGGAGGTAGTTCGGTCAGACATGGAGGGTGTACAAGAAGATCTACTTTGCAACTAGTTGTACTTACAAAGAAAGGTCCTGTATTTTATATGCCAAATGACAAGAGACTGAGTTAGAGCAGCCCCAGTGATCTCCTGGATCCTTTTGGGGCTGTCAAGCCATACACCTCCAACTACATCCCTTTCAAAGATGGTTGGGGTGGGTCTCCGGAGCCTAACCACCTGAGGTTGCGGTTGGAGCCCTTAGGGACGCATCATCAAGCCACAGTTCAATGACCCTCCAAAGCGGTTGTTTCATAGGACCAAGAAGATTACGGTGATTGCAGGGAGTGAAATTAGGAAACCCTGGTAGATGCTCAAGATGTTTTACATTCGCCTAGTGATTCTGTTTGTTTGTTTGTTGTCACACCAACACAGTCAGAGATTCAGAAACAGACCCCACTACACCAAAGTAAGCAGTATTTTGCATGCATTTGTGTCAACCTGGGGAAGTCTTTCGCACGAGCTGTCCGCGTATTTCCGACAGCCTGGGGTAGCCTGACAGGTCAGGGCGTAGAATGTTCAAGTGTACACTGAATGATTGATTTGTTCAGAAATAGCCAAAGGGTACTTTGAACAAGCATGAAGCTCATGTATATAGTCTGAACATGAGCCTGTTCAATCTCGAAGGTTTGTAGACTGCATACTGCGCATGGCATCGCCCAAGTACAATGAACTTCCAGTTGTAACATACTGTAGTCTATTGTAGCCAAACCACCCAACGCTTAATGTGGGTTTTTATGCGTTTCGTTAAACCCAATATGGTTCAGACAGCAAGCTTGTTAGTTCGTATGTTTTAAGCTCAGAGCAGAGGCTTCTGGATGCTTTGCTGGTTCGGAGGTCACTCCCGTGTCCTTCTGGATACTTTTAAACACAGTTATCAGGGAAGGTTTTTTTCAACAGATGCTTTAAATGCAGGACTCGGGGCAAGTCAGGCTAAAGCATGGCCAAAAGCTGTGTACGTAGTACGTATATATTTAAACAGGACCCCAAGTTTGACTCCCGGTAAAGGCAAGTGCACAGAGCAAGGCTTGACATTAATTCCATGTATAGTTTGCTTGGGGACTGGGGGGGACAATTTGTTCAAGGTTGAAATTAAGCACCTCCTGAGATTAAAACTATAATCATGTTCACTAGCTACATGCTGCAACATAGTTTGTGCGCATCGGAATGAAATGGTGCGTTCAATTTGTCCCATCCACAGTAGGTGGGGGGCCTCAGCCAAGCAGCCAGGCGGCCTCAGTGAATGTGATTGCTTGCGCTGAGGGGCCTGAGGTGTGATGATTCATCGGGCCTCGCGTTGAGGAAGACAGGAGTGCACATGCTGCCTGAATGAAGACAAGGGAAACCAAGTGTTTGTTGCATTTTTTCTTTGGCCAGGCTTTATCATTTGTGTGGAAGGCGCAAGAGTTCAAGGAATGCGTTTCTCATCGTACATATATACATGTTTTTAAACATATTGGGTTGAAGGTTGATATCATTTGTTGATTTGTTTTTGTATGTTTTTACCACTGACGTTGCTTGTGTTGTTTTGAGCTTTCCTGGAAGAGGAGTGAGGACATGAGCGTGAGGGGCGGGGTGAGCAAGACTCCAAGACCAGGTTGCTGCCACAGTGACCCTCCCTGAAACAATCGTGGTTACGTGGAATACAGCCTGTAGACGTAGAGGAACACCGCTTTCCTTTCGGGGCCATGTTTCATGTAACCATGTTTGTTGGATGGGCTATGGATGGCTATGGGATTGGCCACAATCAAGAGTAAACGGATCGTGAAAAATTACGAAGCACTGATCGTGTCTTTGTACTTCCTCCTGTGGAGTGCAGGCCACAAGCTTTCGCTCCATCTCCTTGACCAGTGACCTGTCTTGAGGGTGGCTTACAGCTGGGTCGAAAGCAATCGGACCAGCTTCAACTCCCTGGAATGTATTGAGTTTACTTTGACCAACTTGTGACCGGGGTGTGAATGATTGCTTATAAATGGACACCTGTTTGTAGCTGGTGATTGATGATTATATGGATACTGATACTCTGTGTGATGGAAAGTGATGACGAGAGAACATTGTTGTATTTGGTTGGTCTAGTTTGTGTTAGTTGGTTTCCACTGTGACCGTTACAACACCTTTCATGCGTTGGTCGTCAACTTCTTTGTACGAGGCCAGTTGCAGCTCATTTTTATGGACACCTACTGCGGCAAGTCTTTCAGAGATTCTTCATTTTGTTCATCTCCAAGCAAGCTTAAAGCTCCCTCAGAAAATCTCAGAAATAAGTTCATGCACGGTTAGGTGTCTTTGGGATGTTTATCTTAATGTTGCAAGGCATTGTACGGCCTCCCGCAGCGCTTCTCGTTTTTTTTTTTCCTCCAAGGCGCAGGGTTGGTCGTCTTCTACGTCTCGCCAAATGGTTGGGAGACCGAGCCGAACTGGTTGGGATACGGCATCGAGCCGAACCGGGGTGAAGATATCGGAGACTCAAGTCGCTGGTGAGTATAGTATGACCGGCACAGCTCAGTTGAGGATATGATATGACTTGATCTATAGTTGGACAAACTGATCTAACTCTCCTGCAAAGCGCAGATACCATTGGCAAGCAGATAAGCGTCGATGACCACAATATGGGCACTTTAATGTTTGTGATGACAGCAGACACTACTTTGCCTATGCTGATCTATGTTGAAACACACGTGTGCATGAATTTTGCACAATTATCGTCGAACTCCTGCAAACAAGCTTCAACCTCTCATGCTTTGAAGTGATGTGTTTTGTTCTTTGATATTCTTTGCCAAAGGGTCCCTTCAAAGCATGGATCTACCCATGCCAAGGTGAGCTTCGAGTTTCTTCACTGGTTGTTTCACCCTTCCAAGTTTCTTGGACCTCGAGTTCTTCTGTCTTGAGCTCCTCGGCCTTGAGTTTCTGGGTGTGTTTTGGGGTTTACTCAATGGGAGAGGGATGGAGAGGGTATTGTTTTTGATGTTTTTGATTCTTTTGGAGACCCAATCGAGTTCATATCACACGATCATAAATTATAGCAAGTTGAGTTGATTTTGATGTCACCTTCGAGGGACAGAGTGCAGCTATTTTGCCAACTAGGAGAACGTTCGTTTTTGCCTTGAGCACATTGCAAGCACAATCTATGAAAATCATATAATATCATTATATTGGATGAAACAGGGCTTTGGAACCGCATGGAACATCTTCATCAATGGTTCATTGTCCATCCATCAGTCTCTTTCGGTAGGCCGAGTGTTCTTAGTCACCCAACACGCAGCCCTCGGCAGGACCTCCGAAGCGGCCCGTCCTCCGCCGGCGTCGTCGGCGAAGCTCCGAAGCTCTTGAGGCGCCGAGGCAGCAGGCGTCGGACGGCGAGTGCTGTGGGTGGAGCAGCTGCTCTCAGGGGACTTCGGCGCATTGCTGCAGGAGCGGTCTTCCGTCGTGACGTTGGAAGACCGGCGAAGAGAGCGGTCACGTTGTAAACGGGCCATCGGGCCGCCCTGTTGTGTGTTGTATTTTGTGTTTTTCTGAGAGTATGCGTCTCATTCATCCAAATGACCTGGCCACAGCCTGACTGAGCGTTTAGATGCGTTTAGTGCATTCTTTTTGAGTACGACGTTTTAATTGACTGAATAGCATGAATAGCAAGAACGTGTTCAGGAAGGGAAGAGGTAATGCGCATCCTCCAAGCTCTTGAACTGTAAGAGAGAGGGTTCGGAAGACTATGTGTTTCAGACCTCGTTGATAATAGGGTGCCATAAATTGTTCAAAGTTTGTTGTTGTTGTTGTTGTTGTTGTTGTTGTTGTTGTTGTTGTTGTTAGTTTAGCAAACCTTATTACTGGTTACTAGCCGGTCTTGGGAGGCAATTTCCTCTTTGAGGAGCCCGTTCGTAGCGTCCGATCGCTCCTGGTGAGGCCAGGAGCCCCTAGTAGCTTCTTGTTCCTAGTAGCGATGCCAGGAGCCCCTAGCGCTTAATATATATATATATATATTTGAATATAGCGCCCTCACTGCCAGGTCACTTCCTGCCACTTTTTAGTCTCCCTTTCAGCCACTGTTTCGAAGACACTATGTGCCTGGGTTCGGTCTTCACGCAGACTGCAGATCTAGGAGTCGCCAGATGGCCCTGCTCGCTTGGTGCTTGGACGCTTTCAGGGCACTCAGCTCCAAGTGGTGATGGTTGCAGCTGCTTGGCGACCTGCCGCTTTGGTGGTGCGGAGCAGTGAACCTCAATGAAACATGAGAGAGTCAGGTAGTACTGATAGAAGAATGCTCTCTCATATACTGTACCACTTTAATGGAAGACAGACTCACTGGTGTCCTGCAGACCTGGACGCTCATGTGTTGTTTCTTGTTGTTTCATTGGCTATGATTAAGCAGTTGGAAGCAAATCTATACAAATCAGAGCGTGCTGTAACAAATCGTGAATAGGCACCCCAAAGAGCTCAGGCAACACACATGCCCTGGTTTGGTTGCTTAAGCTTCCCAATCTATATATAGCTCCAGCTACCGGAGAATCTGCTTGAGGATGCTTGAGGTATGTTTGTATTCTATCCAGATCATGTGAGGCCTAACTCCGAAACAAAAACAACTGAGCCCTTCAATTCGGACCAAATGGACCGTTCGAGCCGTCTTCGCGCGGTGCTTCGAACGATTGCGCCGAACACGCTGGCACCAGGCTTTGCCAGACCCTGACTTGGAGCGCTTCGCTCAAGCACCCAGCGGCGCGCTGCTTTTGGCTTCACGTGCCGGTGTGCGCTTCGCAGTGCAGGCGGTTTGGTTGCGCTTTGGGTTCAGACAGCAGGTCTTCCTAGAGAAGAGAGCATGGATGAGCAGGGAGGGAACATTGAATTTGTCACATCGTTGTTTTTGCGTCCTGAGTCCTGTCATTGATGATTCCATGTTCAACTCGTCGTGGAGTGTGCACTTGTCACTTCACTTCAATGTACACCAACCTCACTCCGGTGGACCATGTTCCTTGTGCTTTTGGGGATTGTTTGTTTTTTTTGTGTTTGGTTGTTATGGTTTCTAAGAACTCCAGTTGTACGGTCGCAAAATCGTTTTTGCTGCGCTGCACCTCCATGACGCAACTAATGAAGCACGTCGTCAGGGTCAAGCCAGCTTGACTGTGGGTCCAGCCATAGCCGTCGATGCACTCTATGTGCAGAGTGTCTGGGGCCTCAGAGTGTCGGTGGCCAGAACCTTGAATGATCGTGCCAGGAGGTGTGGCCTTGGCCAGGAGGTCTTGTTAATCCCATGAGGCCTTGTTGAATGTTTACACATGTCTACACAAAGTCTAAGTGGTGAATTGGTGTCGATGACCAGATGACCAAACAACGTCCTTTGGATGTTCAGTTATTTTGACTGCTCCATACAAAAACAGTTTGGATCAAAGTGCTTTCTCCCATGAAATCGAAGAAGTTTATTTTTGCCTCAAGCTGAGATTTAAGTCATCACACACTAGATTCAGGAGTATAGTCCCATACAATATCCCTATAGTCTCCCCAAACTGATTTCTTTTTTTTGCCGATCCGACGTTGGACCCAAGAATTATTGCTTCACCGCACTACTGAACCGTGTGGCGCTGAACCGGTGGGCACGGTCGACCGTGGTGGGGTGAAAAGGGGCGTGCGGCTCGCATCTGAGGTGAAGTCTCAAGGCTTGCACACTGAAGCTATTCTGGCGACCGCCACCTCTCTACGGTGTCTTGAGAAGACCGTCTGAGTTCGCGTTGAAAGTGTGTACTGCAGGAAGAGCGGTGCTGAGATTTATGATCAAAGCGATTTTCGGACAAGCTACTTTTGTGGGAATGAAATGGCATGGATGTATGAGCAGCCTACCTCGTCAGTACTGAGGGATGGGTTTTCCCACTACCGAAACGGGTGAACCTTTATTTTCCACGGACACTGAGTCTACTCAGGCAGGGTCGCTCACCTGGTGATTGTGTGATTTTTTCATTTGGAATTTGTATGTTTTCATGATGCGTGTGGATACAGTAGTGTGGATTCTGGGTGAGCACATGACCATCCATAGGACCTAGGATGATAGATCAAAAGCCCCCCCACCGGTCTCTCACTGGTCACTCTAAAGGGATTGGCTGAGTTCTGGCCGAGAACCATCCAGCTACTGTACCTGCCAATAGCGGGCTGCCTATCATAGTATCCGCAAATATCCGCAACATGTTGCTTCCTCCCAAGTCAAGTCATCAGAAAAATAGACTTGGTTAGGTGTGTTCACTTGTTTTGCTCACATGTGGATTGGCCATCATTGTTGTTTGGATGTTGAAAAGTCTTCATAGCCAGAATGAGTTCTCTTGGGTCGAGTAGACAGCGGTTTGCTGGTTTTTGATTTTGCCGTCCTTGAAATTCAAGTTGCCCCTTCGACGGGATTGTGGACGACGAAAAGAACATGTGTTTGTTCTTTAACCCAAAAAAAGAAACACATCAGATTCTGAATCCTCACATGGTTGTACAGCAACCCTGTCCCGATGAACAGGACGATAAAACTACAAATAGCTGCCAGCAGTTTTTTCTAATGTTTCTCCCCCCCTAGAGTCTTGTGGTCGACAGTTGTCGACCATGACTGCCGCTTGAAAACGCCCTATGTCCGGAGTCCAAATGACTTGGGCTACAGGCTGGTGGCAGACTATCCTTGCCGGCTGCCGCCGACCACGGCCCGCTATGTGACTTTGGCAGAAGCGATCCGCGGGATGTAATCCGCGCTGATCCATGCGAACCGGTCGATGGAAGGCACCAAGCTTAGCCAAGCGACGTGGTGCTTCTCCTGAACTAGAACATGTGGGACTTAGGGACTTAGATCGTTCTCCTGTCCTACACCTACACCTATGCAATTGGTGCACCTTTAGAAAGTTAGCACCAAAGACCCTTACGAAGGGCTCTTAAGATTACAGCCTTTCCACATTCCTTGCCCATCTACACGATCCTATTTTGTTCATGGATGAGCTGCTTTGGCCCTTGTGGCCAGGTCGAAGGCGGCAGTGTGTGCCCTCCAAATGTTGAAAATTGCTTTCGGCCCACCTGTGGCCTGCTCAAAGCTGTTCAGATCGAAGAGGTTTGAAGAATCGCCTCGTTAGGCAAAGCCTAACTCTGATCGCCTCTGCTTGTTTGGACCACTTCTAGGTTGGAGGCCATCGCCACTAGGGTGGAGGCCATCGCTATTAGAAACAAGGATAAGATAAAGGGACGAACTAGATGGAAGAGTCCAATATCGCGCATTCATGCGAATGCCCAGATCTGCGATAGCAGGTTGGATAGCGGCTATATATCCCTTCCCGTTCTATGGTGTGCAACGTAGGCTCTGCCCACACGTGTCGTAGGCGCGGCACTGATGAGAAAGCATTGCTCGGAACAACACCTGCAGAGTTGGCTGGGATCCACACGGCTTTGGGGTAGTCCAAATAGTCCTCCCCTTGGATTTGGTGCTTGTGCTCGTAGACTTGGAAGCTTTGCCTCACTACTAAGTGGAAGTGCGTAGTCTTCCGAAGGGCGTCCTGGATTGGATCTGCAAGGGCTTCCTGGGTTTGTGGGTGCACGAGGTCTATAATTAGCCAATTTTATACCATTCGCTAAGCTTCTCAAACAAGCACCATTCAGGAGACTGGCGATTGCGCTGGGATCTTAGAGGCCTCTCGGTGTCACCTTGCCTGTGACCAGGCGCGCGGGAACCTGCGCGCAGGTTGGCCTTTCGCTGCGATGGAGTTCTCGTTCGATCTGTGGGGCTTCATATTTTGCAGCGAACTGTATCATCGTGCCACATGCATGTATATATAAATGGTTTGAGATAGTATCTATAGTATTATCATATTCTATCGTATGACCTGGAAGCAGCCCCCCTGGCGGATGGACTCATTTCATGCAGTTTGACAAGCTGACTTGGCGGGCTCGATCTATCTACCAGACACGAGCTGCGATGCGGAGGCTGCAGTGCCAGAAGATGGTTTCGCTGTTCCACAGGCCGTGTGCCCTGAAGAGGTGCGGGTTCCGGGGCGGAAGAGGTGCTGTTCACCCCTGCGCACCCTGTTCCCAAGGAATCCGACTGGTAGGATGTTCTTCCACCAGTCACCATGTTCAGGACACAGGGAGTACACTTCTTGTCTTAGTGGCACTTCTGAAGACCGTTGAGTGAAACCAAGAGCCAACCACAAGAAAGGCTTCTTACAGCTTTCCACTAAGCCGCCTTCAAGGAAAAACGCAATATGTGTTGTCCATTTCATTAAACTTTCCAGTTCACAATGTTCTTTTCGCGAAGATAAATCAGATAGAGCCAGGATCAATCGGGCATGATTTTGACGAGTATTCTTCTGGAATAGTGGCCTCCAGGACCTCAGACCTTTGCTTTGCGACTTTGGTCACATGTCTGACATGGAGAATGCTTCTTGCAACCGACGAACCACCAGAAACCAGCAACTCAACGAACCCGTGTGAACCGTTCCGATTGGTGAATGTCGATCCCCCCCAAAAGGGTGGGGCAAAGCTGTTTCATTTGTTCAGCGCATGTGCTCAGCCATTCAGCGCATTTGGACGAAGGCGGGGCTCTTTCAGTTGCGTGGATGCAGTGCTCCCCGGTGCTATTTGCCTGCAGAGGTCCGGACCAGGGGATGGGTCAAGGCGTGGTGATGCGGCGTGGCTGGGAAGGGAGACGTGTTTATGTGTTGCTTTGTCCTTGAAATGTTGGATGTTTTTTTTGTGGTTCACATATTTTCAATTGGTGTTCATTATATATTATATTGCTTGCATTTGCTTTCCATTTGTTTGCCTAAGTTGTTTGTTATTTGTTCCATGGTGTTTCCTTTTTCGTGTTTTTTTCGTTGGGCTTTTTGGGATTGCCCAATAAGTTCTGGACCTGGAGTATGCTGGACGTTGTTTCCTTGAAATTGGTGGAACCGAGGCCGTAAGTGATGAAGACAACAGCAAGCAACTTGTACCGGAAAGCTTATCGACGGTAAAAAGAAACAACAATACAAACAGCAGGACTACTGTAGTTTGCTTTAGATATTATTGTTGCAGATGAGATTTTGATAACAGTTTCTATGGATCAATGGACACGAACGGACCAGCAAGTTGCAGTGTATCACTGTGTTCGGCAGGAAGACATAACCAATACAAAAGTCCTCAAAAGTCAAAAGGCCCACCTGGACAAGAATCGGTGTCAATGTCTACTGTCTACGTATGAAAAGTATCCAAAAGTGTGTTCTTGCAGCCACTTCTTGACAGTAATACAGATACGTTCAAACACTTTAAGTCACAACTAGACCGTACTTGTATACTTGTCCAAGACTGACCTGACCCTTGACACTCTCCAAGACTGACCTTTTTAGTTCGGAGTAACTGGTTTTAACTCCAGTATCATAATTAGGTGTGGCGGATGAGTGACAAGTGATGCTAACAAACAAAAAATACTCCACATTTATAGAAGACTTTGGACACTGGAATGTGATTGACTCCTTGCCAGCATCCCATGAATACATGCCTCATAGCATATGAGTCTGTAGATTTCGGATTCAGGCCGTTTTAAAGTTCGACACGTTTTTAAGCCAAAAAGAGAAAAACACCTCCTGTCCTTCCCTCACTGGTCAAAGGACGGACGGGCCGGTCCTATTTGTTGATTTGTTGATCCACATCAACCCACTTGAAGCAAAACTGTGAATGTGCTAACGTGTTGATGAGTGCAGCCATGGGCAGTTCACCAATCACCGATTTTCACACGTGACCCCCTTAACCCTCCTACTACACACTAGTCGATGAACTTTTGGAGTCGATGTTACTACTAGTAGCAAGAAGCTAGCAACAAGTGCATTACTACTAGTAGCTTCTGAAGCTACGTCACTAGCGATGGCCTCCTACTAGCGAGCCATTTTAGGAGGCCGAGTGTCAAGACATGGAAAAAGAACACGACGTGCTGTTTTGTTGGGAGGACCATGTGTCTCACCACCTGAATCTACTCGGAAGACCGAGTGAACAAGACTCCATGCCACCTGCGGCGAACGAGGTGGCCATCGAGTTTGATGTGGCTGACTGCAGCTGCCTGGTCCAACTGGGCTCTTTCATGGTGGGAGCCCGCCGTTGAGGGTTGGGAAGATTAACTTCAACAATGTCAGTCAGGTTGGGGTGCCTGATTTGATTTGATGTCATGGGTCTATCTCCAAATACGGAAACAAAATAAACGCAGCATAACAATATTTTCATCCATGTCAAATTCCTGGACGAATGTTTTAGCCAGAAGAAACTTGTTAGTGATAGATCTCTTATCTCTAGAAGGAAAGAAAGTATATAGTTGAGCTCACGCACTGTGCTAAGAACAGGTCCGTGAGCTTTGTTTGAAGACAAAAACCAGGTGGGAGTATTTTGAATGTTACTTGGAATGTGGTGAGTACGGCGGGTCAGTCCTAGCAGACCTCACTCACTTGCCTCCACCAGCAGTGTTTTGTTGTTTCTACTTCTCCCCAATGTGTGTTGCAACCACACCAATACCAGCGTAAATGTATGGTGCACTGGCAGGGTCTTGAACCACACTCTAAGTAACAGCGGTGCAGGTATTTCTTCAAAAAACTACTGTCATTAGTTCTTTGACATCACAGCACCTTCAGCCTTGGGTACTTGATGGTACTTGTACTTTGAACGTGTTACAACCATCCAACCGCCGCTGTGGGTCTCTTTCGGGCCGGTTGGGTGCTTTGCCACCATCCTACTGTGTCGCCGTGCCTGTCGTGCGGATCGGACGAGAGGCACATCCACACTCGGATGAATCAGCTTTTGCTTTGGATGAATCCTCTAACACAGCTTTTGCTCAGGTGAATGTTGTTGTTGTTTTTTTGCGTATCGCAAGGCTTCACTGACTTCGATTCAAGCTGACTTGCCATGAACCCAGGCACTGTGGCTGGAGCATTCAGTGAAGAGGCCCTTTGGAGCTGTAGCATTCTTTTGTCATCCCCAGTGACTAGTGGTTTTGAAGCTGTAGTTGGGGGTCCCTCCAATAGTTTCTCATGATCTGACATGGTTTGATCCTTTCTGTCTTTGAATCCGTTCCAGCTGTCTATCGGTGAACTTCAGGGGTTTGAAGAGGTGGCATCATCCATATCTGAGGTTGTCCAGTTTCTGAGGAAGCAACACACATCCAAAAAGAGAGCATGAAACTTGTCCCAAAGCAGACACTTCTGTGGTGTGGCCTGGTGTGTCCGTATCTGTGGAGCACTCTTTAACGAGGCTTTGAACGCGTTTATCCCCAGGCACAAAGGCATAGCAGAAGAATAGCCCATTGGCCCTTGTACACAAAAAAATTACCCACCGCAGACAACTGACTTCCTGAACAAGTTACAGTATCCCTGCTTTACAATCAAGCTACTTTCCCAATTCGGAGCGCTTTGGACACATCATGAGACATAGATTCTTTTCTGGTTGCTGATGGATGTTTGTCATCCAAGACAACAGATTTGTTCACCAAATGTGTTTGAGTTTGTTTCTCCTTTGTTATCCAGCTCAGAGGCTGTGTCAGCTTCGCACAGACTTGCGGCTGTGCCGGATAATGTCCTGCTAAGACTGAATGTTATTCAGCTTGGCTTTCCATGTCCAATGTTCGCCACACCACAGGAGTGTTTATTGCGTTGCAGATCTGGACAGAGTGCTGCGTGAGCCTCAGACTCCCTGGCATCCCGGGTGCCTGAGTGCTGAAAGATAGACTCGGTCCTGACACTGAAAAGCTCGGACATGTGGGGTGAAGCAGTGGATCATGCGGATACTGTTTGCGACTGTAAAGGTTTCAGATTGCCACAACATAAAAAGGGTATACTGTATAATACATAAGTTACATGTAGACATTTCCTGGTCTACCAAGAGCATCCAAGAGCCCTTCGATACGAGGGCATAGCATTGTCACTGAGATATGTTGGTTTTGTTGAGTGTGTGTGCGAATCATGCACTTGTTTGAGTTTCTATGTGTTAAGCAACTCATCATAGATGCCATGCGGAAAGTGCGTTTGCGCATTCTCCGTGCCACAGGGGAATGAAAAGCATGCATGTGCGAAAAACATGCATGTGCAAACACAGCGTGTTGGTGGCGAGCAGGATGATAGGTGGTGTCGATTCGGCTGCAACAGTTTCTTTTTATGGATGCCTTCATGCACGGAGGGCCGCCCTCCCTCCAAACTCACCCCAAACAGTCGAAACACCGAAGCTGGAGCGATGTGTAAGCCTTAGCCCTCCGACACCTCACCCAAACCGCCCGCGCCGTCCGCAGCGCCGTTCACGTCCTCGAAAAGTATCTCTCGGTGCCGCTCACGACCGGTTTCGGCCCGCGCTTTCTGAGGCACCGAGACCGTGGGAGTGTGAGCTTTGTCTGACTGAGAGTCTACCCCCAAAATCCTATCTGAAAATAGCCATGGATCGGTTGCGAGGGCTCCCTATTCCGCTTCACACTGAGGTTCACAAGTTTGGTTCTACCCACTCTTGTGTCATGGTTCACTGTCCAATTATATATATATATACTTGTGTTAGCAAGGCCAGAGCTGAACATATTCGATGAACTTGAGTTTGCATTGCCTCTCTGAAGAAGGGAGAAAGGCTGTCCAGGTCAAGTTAGAGGGTCTGAGTCCCAGGTCCCCAAAAAAGGAAAAAAAATGACACAAGCTTGAACAAGCTGGAAGACGCACGTTTTTTTGGTCACTTGGGGATTCTGAAGGCTCCTTTAATTATCCTGCCGGCAATCTCGCAGCACGAATGCTACCAATCCAAATGAACCTTCCTATACGTAGCAGGAAGTTTGCCAGAAACCGGAAGTTTCGTCAAGGCGCTTTGCCTTGCGAGAAACCAGGGGCTCCTTTTCCATGTCACCCCTGACATGCAGCCCCGCTGCGGCCAGTCATGGGCGAGTCCGAAAGTCGCTTTGAGACGACCATGGGGACAGAGGATCATGTTGCTCAGCGAGCATTTCTGGGTGTGTTCGGGTGAGTTTTTACATATTTGTTGTTTTAAATGTTTTTTTGTTTCTTATGGCCTGGAGAACGGAGTGTACATATAATTGGACCGAAACTATGACTACAATTACTACAAATAGACCGAGTTAAAGTGTTTTAGTGCCCCAGTTGTCCTACTTTATGATCTTTAGACATAATATTGTTCTTTTCCAGATCACCTCGCAACACCGCCTTTCCTGAAGAGAATTGGCCAGGAGCATACATGAATTAACGAGATTCTGACTCAGCTTGGGGACAGGAACCACCATGTTTCTACAAAGAAACTCCGTCTTTCCAAAGGCCATGCCATCCACGTAACCACGGGTTGTAGAGTGACGAGTGTACCGAGTATTTCGACCATCGATGATGAATTGACTGGGTTGAAAAGCGACCAACTCTATTAGAGCAGCTAGGGTGAAGTGATGTGAAGTGCCAAAACCCAGTCCGACAGGACTCGGACGTCCGCAAACAAGTGCCAGACTTCTTGAGACTATTGAATTGGATGTTCATGTGAGTGAAATTAATCTGCATCAAAACACAGTCCTCTCTTCGACGTCTCAGGAGTTCGGGTTCCACGTTTACGGCTCGGTGCGTTCGCGCTTTACGAGGCCAAGAGCGACGCCATCGCACAGAAAGCGGTGAATGATGGGATCAAGGACCAACAACCAACGAGCCACTAACAAAATGATTAAAATCATTGGGCCACCTTTTGCATTCATCGGTTTGTTGGAAGAGATTGGAACTGAAACCAATACCAATGTGTCATTGTAGGCAGCTTCCTGAACAAAATCTGCACTGCCAAATGTCTTAGATTAGATGTTTGGTGGTTGCTGGGTTTGCACTTTGCCCGAGGCTTCATGACGTCAAGGCCCCCCCAAGTGGGCGGTAAAGCAGTGGTAAAGCAGCCAAGTTGGCACGTCCAATGGATGTGGATATATGTGGATGCATCCTCAGTTGGTTGGTATTCAAATATACCAGTAAATCGATATGATAAAAGTAGACAACTGAACTCGAATGATTCTGTATGATCCAGCTTAGACCAGCTTAGTTGCCTTCCGGTTTCCATTTGACTTCTTCCTCGCTTTGTTTCTTACTGTGCAGAACGCTTTTCCACCCAACCTCTCCTCGCGCAGAAAGCCCAAATCTGGGCCGATTGGCAACGGCTTGGACTTCCAAGTCCTGCCGAGGGCGGGGTGCAGCTCGGCAGAACTGGGTGGCTTTGGTTGCGAGTGCGAGCTTGAGAAACATATTTGACACAAAAGGACAAGCAAACAAGCAGGAAGCAATCGAAAGCAATCGAAAGCAATTACAGTATATTACATAATTACTCGGTATATACACCAAAAAACATGACATTCTGGGCTGTAAGATTCTTGCGCATCAAGAACTCGTCACAAGTAGACAGTTCTACCAAAAAGGTGGCTGGGGTACCACCTCCAAGCCGGTTGGACACGATTGGTGAGGCTTCATACTTTCGACTTGTTTTCATGGCTATAGATGGAAGCATGTTAGTTGTTTGTCGTATAAATACTTGAGTGATTGTCCACGGGGTTTTCAATTTACAAGTATGTTTAGAGGTCTTCGGAGTATTTGTCCAGTGCCTGTTGTAACAAAAGACGACATGTCGGATGTGGTCTTCAGAAAAAGCCTGGCTCACATGCACATGAAATCACCTGATCAACAAGAAGGCGTGTCGTGTCGTGTCGTCATCAGTCACCCACGTCAGTTTTGTCCGTGCTCCTTCGACCGGAACGTTCCGCCACCGGCGTGCGAAGCGAGGCCCTGGTACTGGTTTTGGAGCCGCTTTTGGTATGGGAAGTATCCGCCCACCCGCTGGGTCGAGCCGCTCGGAGCTGCACGTGGTCGCTCCCAGGGTGTCGACTGTCGAATTCAGATTCAGATGTTTGAGCCGTGTTGTTCGAACGCAACTTGAACCAACGATGCTTGGGAAGCATTTCTTATTGGGTTGGCCAGTTGTGCGAATTTATTCTCCCAAGATCTCCAGGTGCCGGGAATTGGTTGAAAAGGCATGGATATTGATGGATCAGATGGACTAAATCCCACATAATGTTTTCATAGAAACCACATCCATCTCCTTTGAACTTCCCCTGAAAAATGAGAGGCTGGTCCAGCTGACAAGTTTTGGTTATAGCCATAGCCCTAATTTTTATGGGGGAATGATATAATTGTGTGTTGACCCAGTTTGAATTTGAAGCAAAGTTGGAGGTAGAGTAACAACTGAGTTGACTCCATCCACGAGGCCGGGATTCAATCAACAAGATGGCCGGATTTTGCTTTTTATTGAGGGGTGTTTTATCATCCTAAGTTTTATCATCCTAAGAACAATCTCCTAAAGCTGCAGGATGTGCTTCAGATTGGATGGTCCAACACTTGTTTGTTGCCAGATCCATTCCAATCAAAGAGGACTCTCCACGAGGTTTCCGCATGTGTTCCTCAAAACCTCCACGCGCGACTCAGGGGTGTGACCATCGTGGAAGAGAACGAGCTAGGCGTTTCTTTTTTTGCTGTGGCCATGTGTGGGGATGCTGTGGCCGTGTGGCTAATATATTTCGGATTTGCTCGGCTTTTACATGCTTTTACCAATCCTTCCGTAATTATTTTCAAGGATCAAATTTCTCAGTCAGTGTGTCAGTGATGAGGTCGGCAAATATGTGCAGAGAGGAGACGGAAGCCAGCTCTTGATGACAAAGGAGTTCCCTTCCAGAGCATCCGATCTAGTGCCAGTATACGGCATCAATAGATGCTACAGTACACTACATGACATAAACATAAACATGATTTATGATATATTATATACAGCATACACAAGAGATTACATACGTATGTATATATATATATGTACTGTCACAATTAGCAGCATTGTAGCATACACCTGATATGATACCGCTTGTGGTCTCAATTTGCTCGCCAACCAGAACCCTGGTGATGTCCATAGCACTTGCAGAAGTGGAGCATCCCATCCCAACATGCAGCGTAGCGTCTCCCCCCACGGCAGGTGAACAGTGGGTCACACACGTGGACATCCGACAGAACGGATCCCGACACTCGGCTACCAGGGAGCAGTGCCCGGTTAGGGGAGGTGGAACAGTATTTGTACCACACATGTCTTTTCGGGGGGCCCAATCCATGGTTCATGTTTCTACCATCTTTATGAGGCAACTACCTGGGGTGTCGCATTCTTGATTAAATATAGTTTATACACCAGACCAAATTATAAAACACATACACAGCAATCCATGTCTCATTCTTGTTCGGCTGTCCTTTTGCCATTCCAATTGCGATTCTTAGATCTTGCTGCACCGTTGTGGAGCTCAGAGAGCAGTCCACAAGAGCAAGATGCTAGAATTCAAGAATTGTACTCTACTCTCAGACTTCCTGGCCCGAATCCCAACGCTTTCTTATAAAGAGATCACAGGACTGAGACTTCGTGGGAAAACTGAGCCTTCGTGGCTAGTTCAGGTATAATGAAATATAATGACACTGTCGATCCAATTTTTGTTTTGAGGTGTGGAATTGGCCCCTGAGTTGTTAGGGCGCTTTAACATCAACATTTCCAGTATACTCTCAAGAGCACCATGGCTGTAGCGGGTATGAGTTGATGTTTACATATGTTTACCATGTTTGGCCGGAGCCTTTTTTGACACTAATTCAACACAAGTCCATGTTTTTGTTCATTCAGGGGAAGACACAGACATGGTATCGGTTCACTGTGACTCAGCTTTATTGATCAGTGAATGCTTGATTTGTATTTTGTGATCGTGGCTGCAACATCATGATGCAGTGGGCAAGCCCAGAATCCGAGTCTGACCAGGCAACTTTCCCAATGACGAGCGTGCCGGGGCTGCATTTACATATCATTTACTTGGCAAAACATAGCAAAACCCCAAGAGCCCGCTGGGCTCCATCTGACAGTTTTGCGTGCCGACCTTTGGTAAGCAGAAAGGTTGTTAGGACCAACAATTATTTGCTTGACATCAAGAGGACATGATGGCACCTAAGCTGACCTTGTGTCCAGTGAATTGTCATGCTTTCTTGAAATGCTGAGGCTTTTCACACAATTGGTCAAGGAGAAAGATGAACACCACGTGCTGAGCTGCGCACTCCCGGCGCTATTGGGGTGGGAAGAGTTGAGATCATCGGCTGCAAATATAGCTGATCAGACCTTGTTTGTTCAATCGGGTGCATGTGGACATGAAGGCTCGCAGTGGTTGAGATGTAGACAGTATAGTATTATTGACACCAGAATTCTAAGGGATTTCAGAGCACACAAGTTGATGACATTCCTTTGTCCCATACCTTTTCCTTGCACTTGCTACAGCCCCATACCTCGGCTGTTCATTCGGCGATGTTCGACTCCTCCCTCCGCATTCGAAACGGTTTCGGGCGGGAAAAGGATCCCTTCCGAACACCACGTCAAAGGCGTGCCTCTTTTTTCGGTGTCGGGATGGATCGGTGCACTGAAGATGAGGAGCGAACAATGTGTTTTGTTCTTTTTGAAGATGGTTTCTGTACCTGAGGGGAATCTCAAACGACCAGGTTGCATTTGCGGTTGCATTTGCCGTGTCAAAAGGGGTATTGGGATCAAGAACGCAGGTGAACGCTCAATCATAATAGGACCGTCGCGGCCTGCGGAGTGCTGATATAACATGATATAACATGGCTTAGGGCCTTTGGTACAGACTTTGTACTGGTGATTTGGGGCCAACCAGGTTGGAGAAGGCGACTGCCAAAGCTTGTTTCACAGGGTTTGGGTGCAGAAAATATAATGGAGTTACAAATAAACTTGACAAGTTGTCATGGAATTGAAGTCCAGGCAGACAGGTGGCGTGGTTGTTTTCTCAGCAATCCAAAATGGTGTTCTCATGGCTTACAGTCTTCAATTCGTGAAAAGCACAGCTGGAGTTCCAAGCGGGCGCGGTGAGCCTGTTCGGCTTGCTCGCGGTGTGAGCCTATGCCCGATCTTCTGGTGCCTTTCCCGCTGACCTAAACAGGTCAATTTCCGCTTTCACATAGATGTCTCATGGAATAAAGGTCGGCCTTGTCATGCCTTTTCATGCCTGGTTTCACACATTGTCATGACGCACAAATGACGAGAAGAAACTGATGTTCCACGTGTTCCGTGCATGTTGGCAGTTGGCGCCACTTCTTTTGTTGGCACGTTATTTGTTGGCTCCAAGCCTCGCGCTTGGAAGCGTGTACTCTCTGACTGGAAGCGTCCACCAACTTCACGGCCTTTGGCCAACAACCTGGCGTTGCTTCCAAGGGATGGCTTTCGCATGACCCCTCCTCCATCATCCTCCATGCAAAGTCGGACTCACCGAACGGTGCTGGATGGTGCACCAGCCTATTGCATTTCTGATATACATGCTACTGCTAAATGTATCTATATGTTTTGACTAGTGTTTTGACTGTATAGCCTAGCTATTTAATCTACAGTAGATTTATATTTATACTATTAGTTTGATAGGGAGTCCCTCAACCAATGGTTTTTTTGGCCTTTGTCGTTTGGCACATGCGTCGCATGCAATGGCTTTCCTCAGCTAAGCGTAAGGTAGACACAAAGGGAATTAGATCCTCAGCATATGCAATCTACAATCCCCAACCAACTGGTTTTTGTTTGTTTCTCTTCTTACAGTCTTTGGAAGGTTACCCTATTTTTAAACACATCCATTGAATTGAATTTTCCACTAACCGACCTTCGCTCCATTCGCGACCCCAACGTGCGCTGCAGATTGAAAAGTCTTGTGTGCTTGGGATGATGAGTCAACAACTGTCCCCCACTTGGTCTTGACATGTCATAACCATGTTTAGCAAATTCCACTGGAATCTTAGTGGAATATCCCCAAGTCCGGTCAAAGTTCGGACTTTAATTTTAACATCTTTGGGCCCTGCCGAGAAAGAATGCTGCTAAGTCTGGGGATGGCTTGGGATGTTGGATTCCACTTGCCGTCAACACCACTCTCTTGCTGGTAACACGGGTAGGGCATGCCACCTGCGCCAGCTCTTAGATGCACTAAAACACCGTTGGGAGGAAAAGAATTGGAGTCCAAAGAAACCAACTCTGGATTGACCTCCCATTGTTGGTCAACATAGCCATCAAAATTGACCTGGATTTTGGTTGACCTCCAAGACCTCTGGATAAACCAATGGGGATTGGTCCAAATCTGGAGCCCGACCAGTCCACCATCTAGCGAACCACCTTCCCTTCCAGGTGGGTCAACCTGTCGGTATCCAAAGTATCCTGGTGCCATGACCCACCAGCCATACTACGGTGTCCAAACGGTGCCATACTACGTACTGATGGTGACGGCCTCAACGGTCCCAGCAGCGTGAAATATGTGTTTGCACCAACGGTCCCATGTTCTTCGTACCATTTGCAGTTTGGGGTGTCGCACATTCTATGGATAGTGACCCACTGTTTGGGCAACAAGTGACTAGTTGGCCGTCGGCCAGAATCTCAATTGAAAAATCGGAGTTTGCACTGCTTCTATTTGATCAAGCAAAACAACTTAGTCCTAAGTCAAGGCAAGATCGACCATGACGTCCTCGACCTCATCACCCGATATTTGGCGAAAAGAAGCACATGTTTTTCCGCAGAGTTTCCGACGCTGTTTCTAGGAGTCAGGAACCCCCAAATTGCAATGGTTGAAAAACACATCCCCACGTTTTGACCCACGCCCATGTTGGCCACACCATATGATTCACTGCATCCATCGGTCTTGAAACCAGACCGAGGCCTCCAAAGCCCTTTGTGCTGAGCACTTGGGCACCTTCCAACTCTCCGGCTGTGAAGAGGCCGATTCACCGCGCTTTCTCACTTGGGCGTATTCAACGGGCTCAGCCGGTGAAGCCGTCGGCACTCGGTGCGGCGTTTCCGCCAAAGAGTGGGGTGAGCCTTCGAGGGGCAACACCCCATCGTCAAAGTGCAGCAAATAGCTTGCAGGGGATGAGAGAGCTGTTTGTACTCCAGCTGGGAGAAACTCATCCCGTTTTGACATGTTTTTGAATCTGGGTTTTGCTATTTCCTTTAAACAAAGACGAGAACCCACGGATTTGCAACCATGGCCTTCTGTTGGTGAGCACATGACATGGACCACTGTTTTTTTTGTTGTATGGACTTTTGTGCCATGCATTTTGTGCCTTAAAGTATCTCCAGGATATCCTGAATTTTGGTTGTAGAAAGACCCTCGCGCGTTTTTTTGTCCAATTTGAATGCATTGATTGAATTGTTGTGAGGAACTGCACTACACAATGATTGTGTCTTTCCCATGCCGTAGCTGATCTAGAAGGTCTCCAGTAGTCAGCAAGGTATTCTGCCCAGGCAGTCTTTGGCCTTTCCCATCTAAATTAACATTTGGATCAAGCTATGGCAGCTCGTTCCGGACGTAGACCTACTAGATGACCAACTCAGTTCCTTGAGCTTTGCATATGTTACCCAGCTACTCATGGATTCTTACACCCGAGCTGATGCGAAACCAAGCGGAGTTGTCCATCTCTGGCAGGTGCGCTGCAAGTTGCCAGCCGAGACCACAGGCACCAGCAGACGTGCCTCGCTTCGCTCGGCCTCTCTGGTTCTTCCGAATCTGCCAGGGTATGATGTCTCCCAATGTGATGCAGTGGACAAGACGGTGCCTTTGTATCAATGTGCGGCGCCTCAACACGTGGCCCATTTTGCATGCGCATGGGCTCCGCTATAAGTGGATTTGTCGATCTTGAGAGCCACGGTTCGGCCTTGAAAGTCAGTAAGAGCTGCTGCATGATGTGCGCAAGGTCAGGTGAAAGTGAGAAATTCCGTCGAGAATGTTTATAGCTCATAGCATTAGAGCGTGTTGCTTTAAACTTTAAGACCGATCTCAGCTGCGAAAATCGTAGACATCTCGTCTCACCCTCAGCCTTCTTTCACTCGCAACAATTCGCCCTGCATGGAATTTGCTAAAGCGGCCACTGGCCGCTTGTTCAAACTCAGCCATGGTGGTGCATGGGAAGGAGCACTGGAGATTTTAGACCAGCTGCAAGCGCATCGCTGTAGGTTAGATGCGGTCATTTGCAGTGCCCTTTGCGGTGCTTTTCAGGCCTCTGGACGTTGGGAGCTGATGCTCTCATTGCTTTCAATACATGAAGCTCTCACGCTTGACACCCCAGCCTGTACAGCTTTACTGAAGCTCTATGGGCGCTGCAGTGAGTGGCGACGGGCCTTGAGAATCTTCGAAGGAATGCTGAGTCAAGGGCCAGCTCCTGATGCCTTTGTGCCCTGGAAGTTGTTGAATGCTTCCTTGATGTTTACAGTGTGTTACATTGATAATAATATGATCAAATATTGATAATTATGGGTGCAGGATTCTATGCATTCAGATATATTATAGGTCAAATAAGGGGATATCTAGATCCGTTAAGCATGTGTAACACAGACCTTTATGTGCAATGGGTACACAGCAAGTCTGCAGCTGAAATCTGCAGACTTTGAGAAATGGTCTCATGGTCGGATGTCGCCATTTAAGGGATGCTCTAAAGGTTGGGAGCGAGTTCAGCTCACTATAGCAGAATGTCCGTTATTTGATGACAACATGTCACAACAATGTATGTGTCAATCAGTGTTCGTCAACATCGCAGCCCTTGGCCCTGGACAATAAGACTGCAAATTTATCCATTAACAATGAATATATATATATATTATATATCACGACTACTTACATATATTATATATATATATCATATTACGATCAATTCATCCTCTTCATCCACCCGCTCGTATCACAACGCCCTCCCGCTCGCGTCACATCAGGCCTTGAGCGCCTTGATCTCCTCCGTCCCTTGGCACCTCGCGCTGGCTCTTTTGACCGCACGGCACGCCGTGCACGGAGCGCAGCCCAATGTGGTGGTCTACAACGGCGCCATCTCCAGGTGCGGATCGGCAGAAGTGTGGGAAGCAGCACTAGAAGTGTGGGATGAGATGGAGATCCATGGTATTCGCAGAGATCCTGTGACGTGTGGGAGTTTGATCGCTGCATGCGAGAAGGGAAGTGTTTGGACTATGGCACTGGAAGGGCTGGGTCACTATCGTTCCCTGCGGAATGTGATTGCAGCATCTACAGCCATCTCAGCATGTGCAAAGGCCCAGGAGTCTGAAAAGGCCTTGGAATTGCTGGAGGCCTTGCCAGAGATGCAGATCGAGCCAACTTCTGCAGCCTTCAATGCTGCTAGCATCTGTCAGAGATGGGATGCTGCAGTCAAGCTGCTGCATGCTGCAAAGTTGGCTGGGATCAAGGCGGGTTCAAAGTCGGATGTGACCTACCTCAAAGCTTTAGAGAGAGGATCTTGCTGGCAGACTGCAATCTCTTTGTGGAACAGAAGTGATGCACAACTGGCTTTGGCCATCCGTGCCTGTTCTCACTCCAGTCAGTGGCAAAGCGCAGTAGCTCTTTTGGAAGTGAGATGCAGCACTTCGAAGACAATGTCCTTGGAGTTGTGGAATGCAGGTCTCGGGTGCCTGGCAACCCCTGAGACCTGGCTTTTGACATTGGAACTCTTCGAAGGACTGGAGAGGTCTCAGACGGCACTGGATGCATTCTCATACAACCTGGCGATAAAGGCTTGTGAGGTGGGTCATCATTGGGAAGGAGCTTTGGCCTTACTTCGGGAGGCAAAGAAGTGGTCTTTTGGCGATGTTTTGAGCTATCATATGGCGATGACCACGTGTATGGACACTTGGAAATGGGAAGCTTGTATCGATTTGTTGGAGGAGTTGGAGATCTCTTCTTTGGAGCCAAACCTGTTGGCCTACGGCCCAGCCGTTGGCGCTTGCTTGCGGGCCTTACGTTGGGAGCAACCCCTATCTTTGCTGCAGGGCTTATGGCTGCGCAGCCTCACTCCAGACACTGCGATGTGTAACGCCGTGATCACGCTTTGCGAGAGGTCTGGGCATTGGGCATGGGCCTTAGAGCTACTGGAGAGGATGTATGAGAGTGGGCCACCTCCAGATGCCACCACCTATAACGCATTGATCAATGCCTGTGCCACCGGCAGCAGTTGGGAGGCTGCAATCTTTTTCCTCACCTCTCAGGTGCGAGACTGGTCCGAGGAGGCCTTGGGTGCCACGTTGCGGGCGTGCAGCCTGAGCAGCAAGTGGGCAGAAGCTTTAGCACTACCTCGGACCAACTTGGCTTGTAGCTTTGCAGCCCTAGAGGCACAGACAGTATAGTCATGTTTAGTCATGTCTTGTCCTTTGTTTTCTATACTTAGAGATTGATTAGAAGACCTGCTTGGAGTCTTTGTTTTGAGCTTCAACGTGCTTTAACCATTAGCCTTGACACGAAGGCCTGCTTCCTGTCCCTTCGCTCGCTGGAAACCACTCACCTCCGCGACACGTTGGGCGCCCAGCTCGAAGCGAGTCTCCTCGCGGTGACACCGAGTTCTCCGCGAGCAACACACGCGGTGCCCGAAGCGATGGAGCTTCTCCTGGGAGTGAGGGACGCCTTCACGGCAACAGAGGTGAGGGCGAGTCAAAACGAAGAAAAGGTACAGTACATCCAGGATCATCCCAAATCATCCAACATGCACATTGATTCTTGTGCCACCCGTAGAAATGGTTGCTGGACAGGGATCGTTTTCTCAAAGCTCTTGTCCACTTCCACGTGTTCGTGACTCCTAGCAGCTCTTGGCATTACTACTACTACTACTACTACTACTACTACTACCACTAGTAGTAACAAGAAGCTACTAGTAACAAAGGGCATCGCTACTAGGAGCAAAAAGCTACTAGTAGCTCCGTGCATGGTTTCAGGCGAGGCCTTTTTTTGGGTTCGTCGCTCAAGTCAACCCTGGCAGGTGGCCTCCCTTCGTTGCTTTCAAGCACCAGCTGTGAGGAGGCTGGTGGCACTTCTTCAAGAAAAGGCTCATGCTGTCTCGGAGCCTCGTGCGAGTTGAGGATCTCAATATGTGTGCGAGTTGAGAATCTTCCAACGATGTCAATGTTATGCCTGTCTCTAGCGGTCTATGTGGGTGAAAGGTATTCAGGTTGGATTTGATTTTGCTTACACATTGACACAGATGATGCAATGGCAGTTGCTGTTACCATGGGGGTCTACACAGATGATCACACAGTTCCATCCAAACTCATGCACATATCAAATATCTTCCCTCCCTCCAACAAACATGGAACTGGAATATGGCCTCTTGGAGGACTGTTTTCCTCTACAAACCGGTGGTTATCCACGTAACCATGATTGTTTCAGAGAGGGTACCTGTACTGTGGGTTTCTACCCTTCATCATGCCAATTTGTTGGATTTGTCGAAGGACCTTCCCAGTTACGGCACTGACATCACTGGAGGATGCGACAAGGTCATGAGGTTTGACACGCGGACATGGTGATATGAGTCAGAGACAAAACTGGGATGTATGATGCAGATGGTGTGTTTTGTGTCATATCCTGCGTGATGGACTTCTAGCATGGCATAGACCGCCATCAGCCGAATTGGGCGGGTTGAAAACCCACGAATCACACGCTTGACAAAAATTGGTCACATGATCATATTGTTTGGTGTTTGTTTATGCGGTGAATTGGACATTCAGACCATCTCTGGTGGTGCAGACTTTTGTCGAGAAGTCAGAGTGTGGTTGTGGGTCTTCAGAATCGTTTTTCATTGAAGGACACATGGTTCCCCCGTGTTTCACGTTGCCCTTTCAGTGAGTCCATCTCCTATTCCAACTCCCAACGTTTACTGTACACCAGATCCCAAGTGACCCCAAAGCAGATGGAGTAGTGTAACTACGCTTATGATATTTCTGGGCAACACTGTTGGTTCAGCGCTAGCTTGGCATAGCTTGACCAATTTTCTCAGGAACTGGGAGGGGAAATGGTCTTGCGCGACCCAACGCTGGAGCGACAAGCGAGCCTGGGCTGCTTCTTCTTGGAGGAGTTCTTGAACGAAGAGCTTCAGCACAGATGCAATCAACGAGCTTCAGAGAGACGGCCCTTTCTTCCCTGGCTGAGCAATGTGAGGATGAGACTTGGAGATTGCTGGGAATGAACTGTGAATCTTTTTGAACATGGTGACTATATAGATGTTGCTGCACCAACCTGTTCCCGTAGGGGTTGAGGTGCAAAGTCAAAATAACGGCAAAGCCCAAACCAGCAAACTGGTAGTAGAGGAACTCAGTCAAAACGGTCGTGACATTGTAGGTGCGACATAATGCGCAAACCTAGTTTGCAGGCCGCCACGTGAAGCTTAGCACGAACAGCGGGCGAAGGGTCCGCATCAAAGGTGATCCAACCACTTTTGGCAGTAACACGAGGCTGATGTACCCACCAACCATGGGCAACATTGAAGGAAGTTTCAATTTCTTGTCGAAATGAACGAAACTGAGGGCACAAGGCCCAAAAATGCCTCATGGAAGCATCCTCTGCTTTGCAAACAGGACAACTTGTGTTGTTAAAAGGCATATTAGCACGTCGTGTCGGGGAAGTGGCAGCACCACCCCGAAACACGGAGAGTAGTAGCTTTTCCTTAGGATCAAGAGTAGCTTTCCAATCTCGCCAAGTCTGATGAGAACTGGCATCAATGTCGACATCAGCGATACCTTCTGCATCAAAACGAGAGCGCCGAACAGAAAGCAAACATTGATATTTGGCAGCTAAACGAAGGGCGTGCGCCCCAGCTTTGCGGTCCACTGTAAAAGTCCAAGCATTGTCAGACCAAGTGACATAGGGTTCAAGAACACGAGTCAGGCCATCCCGAACGGAGCGAAGACGAACAGTCACCCGATGGGCATCCCATGAGGCGAGTTGGAGATTTAACTGAGCAAGATGGCTGTTGATAGCGGCTTGCAAAAATTCCGAAGGAGGTTAAGGAGGTTCTGGGAATCGAAGGCAAAACATAGCACTACCCACAGCTGTGCTGAGAGCAGGATGTAAATCAACGCGGTCTGCCCAAAACCGGCCGGGGTACCACCAATTGCATTGAGTGTGATTCAAAAGAGCGCGCCGAAAAGCAACGACAACGTCAGAAGAAGGCGACTGGAGCAAGGGAAGGCCCAAAACCATTTGCCTTTGAGGAATGTTCGGACGGCCGCTTCACGAGTAAGCAGGCCACCTGCTAATCGCGCCAACAAGGGCAAAACTTCAAGTATAGGAGCCCAGCCATTGCGGAGACATGGTAGCTCGCCAGACAAAGCATCGACGGAGAGACCAAGATGCTCAACAACAGCGCTACCGCCATCAGCAGCAGGCCAAACTTGACGCTTGCTTACATTTTCACGAAGACCAATGGTGACCCCAGACCAGTATGCCAAGGGCGGCCAAGGGTACATCATGATCCAAACAGTTGCTTTGGAAATGTTTGGGATGTAAAGGTTCTAATTCGAGAAACACCTATGTGGTTGCGAAGAGTCAACACTTAGAACCATGCTATGCCATGCTAACGGGGTGATTTGACTGACGGTCAAACGTGGTACCGTATTTTTTTTTTGTCTTCAAGCATCCTGTCCAGTTCCGTAAAAGTCCAAGCTTAGAGTATACAGTGTACTATTCTTTGGACCACTCAATCCTTTTTTGCTTGCCCACGGCAAAGAGTTCAGACAGTGCTTGTTTTGCCATGAAGAAGTAATCAGGACGTGTCGAAGAATGCAAAAGAATGGCAGTTGGTTGTTTGCTGATCCCACGGCCAAAGACATTGCTGCAACCACCTCCTACACGCTGACGGATCGACAGGGCATGTCGAAAGCCGGGCAGTGGTCGAATGGCTATCGTGCCCAGCACCTGAAAACTCTACCAGCACTTTTCGTTGAGCACCATCGCTTCCCTCATGCAGAACGTCAAGCTTTGCTAGACATTCTTCATGTGAGCTGGGGCATGACCTCCCCATCCTGATGCTGTTTTGAGTAGAGAAGCCTGCTGTGATGAGGCGGCACTACTGAGTTTGTCTCAGAATCATTGGGTCCCTAATATATTATAGATATAATATATATATATATTATAGAATTATATATAATCGTTTGGAATAACGCACGAGATAGGCATGGTAGCATATCACCAATTTCAGATATTGTTGACTTGAGTCTAGCATGACCCAGAACTTGACCTAGCGTGGCTTGCGACTGTGAGAAAGCTGCAAGCTGCCACCGGTCCTTGGGTCTACGTCGGAGATGCTTGACCCCTACGGGACAAACGCCTGCGGACTGGACATGTGGGGACTGAAGACCACAAGACAATTAGAATTGGTGCCACAGTTTGAGGACCACAAGACCATCCAAGACCATAGTTGTTTGGAGTCTGGAGTTTCTTTGTTTTTCTCCATAGTCCATTCTCCAATGCTCCATGGCTGCCAAAAGCGACCCCTGTTGGCTTTCAATTGATTGATCTCCGAGGCCAAGTCTCCTGTGCTCCAGGCTACGTGGCAGAGGTTCATGTGGAGGCCAGGTGGCTGGTCTCGGTGGGGGGATGATTTCCAAGAGTTGTAGTTTTTGACTCACAATGAACATGCCAGACACTTCTAGAAAAAAAAACAAACACAGGTTTCCTATAGGGGTGCCATGTTTCCAGCCGGTGTTAGAAGAATTTCTGAGACAATTGATCTGTTTTTTTTTGAGTCGAAGCCTTTGCGACCACACGGACTGTCACCACAGTTTCGGGCCTCTATGACCCAAGACTTCGATGGAGTGACGTCGAGATGGGACGTGACTAGGAGAGATCCAAAATGGAGTCATGATCAACCACAACTCACACTTGATATCATCGTTTTGACCATAATGTTTACCATGGTTGATCAATAGACTTGATATCAGTTGATTAATTTGTGAGTCAGAAGATCAACATAGATGAAGGCTGAGATGATCCTGATCCAACCAGTGATGATCTCCTGAATGAACATGAGTTCCACCCATCCAAAATTGAGTTTTGGCTGTCAAATCCGCAAGACACCTTTGTGGCAAACTCAATAACGCTAAACAAAAACAACCAAAACGCAACCGTTTGTTGTGTAATATTTCAGCAAACTGGTTTTTGATGACGGCTGTTTAAACATCACTCGACACCCAATTATGAAGTTTCTGGATAACTTTCAATCAAATTCTGGAGAACTTTCTCATACATGCCAACTTCTGTGTTGGAAATTTGAATTAGTTATCAAGTTGTTGCAACAAAGAATATATATAATATAGACTGTTTGAACATAACGGGATCGCCCTTGGATCACTGTTTTCGGACGACTCTCCTGACAACTCCACTGGACTGCAGTGCAGGTCTTCTGTGACGAGGGCAGTACCGACTTCCGGTTGGGCGGGTGGCGGAACTCAGACCGTTCTTTCCCGAAAGAAGCTGGCAGGATGGCAGGGGCTTGTGCATCCTGTGCATGATCTTTGGAGAGGTCAGTTTGGGGAAGTATGAACGGGTGAGGTTTATTTCTTTCTCACGTCTTTGTTTCAAACCCGTTTTTCACATTCTAACCGGCATCGGCTTGCTTCAGGTGTTAGGGTTAGTGGCCCATCCAAGGTGGGCCCATCTCCATCTCGTTCGTGTGCCCAAGGAGTGCCCTTCTGTGAGCGAAACAACGACCTAGGTGCTTCCAGTTTTGCACTGCACCAGAGGGCATTGAGAATGCCTTGGAGCCGCCGCCGGGTCGCAGCTGTGCCCATACTCGCAGCGGGAGGGCGCATGGAGGGTGCATCGGTGATGTATGCGGGTATTCGTTCCTAATCCGCGACAGATGTTGCAATTGAAGTCTCTAATGAGTTTGTTGCTATGGTTTTGCCAATGGTATAATTAGTTTTGGTCCTGGTGCGCACGGTGTGTTGAAGGTGTGTGGGGCCAAAAGCAGAACTCTGGACTTTGCAGTTGAATGTTATTGCAGTGGAAGGCAGCTAGATTTGGTATACTTATGGTGAGATCACTTGGTGGGAAAGCAACTGAACACCCATGGCCGATCGAACGCATCATACAAAAATCCTGAGGCTGGTATTGTAGCATTGCACCATGTTGCCCCTTATTTTTTTCGGAAAGCCGCTCCTCCAGTCCAGCATGTCTCAATGCTTCAGTGCAAAAAGACAATCGATGCGACCTAGGAGCGTTTTTTAGGTCGAACACAGCCACCCACTTGACCTTTCACCCCATTTTACCCACCAAAAAAAGACGAAGACGAGGAAAGGAGGCTTTGCTCAGCAAAGCCTCCGCGTTTGCTGTGGTCTCAACATCGCTTGTGGGCGGCAAACGACAAACACATCGTCGCCGAAACAAGGTCTTGTGCATCGGGCAACACCGTGACGCATAGCAGCTATTGTGTGTCCCAATGCGCAAGGGCCTCAGATTGGTTTATGTGAGATGTTCATGGATTTTCCGTTCACAAAGATGTATTACATAATTGTACTAGTATTGGACATCTCAACAGGTCTTTTTGGAATGGCTGAAAAACACAAATAATGCTTTCATGAATCTAAACCATTCAAGATCAATGGGTTTTGAAGTGCAACATGCTCCCTTTAGGAACATATATTGAAGAGGATCCCAGGTTGCCTTGCTTCGACAGACCTTTAGAACGGAATCACTCAGTTTTACCAAGCAGTTCCCCTGGCTCCAATAGTATTTTTGTTCACTGGGGACAGTGCCAGCTCAAGTTGTTGCTAGACTCTTGACTGGTGACAGAACAGAAAGGACCTTTGTACGATGTATGTATGTACCTTTCGGTGAACCAATATGAACACTGCCATATTCTGTTTGACCAAAAAAATACCACGATATTCTGTCAGCTTCGGTTTGCAGGCTAGATCTTCATATATCTTCATACACCATCTCTTTAGTTACAATCCCGTTAAATCTCATGTCACTTGATCGACTTGCCATGTTGCAGATAGAGCGATACGGCCATTCAGGCACCTGGCTATGAGGCGACCGTGAGGCAGTTGAGGCGGACACCTCGCGGTCGACCGTGGGTCTCTAGTCAGTGTCTATGGACATTGCATCATTCGTATCATGGGGCAGACATGGTAGCACGACCTCAGTTTGCAGAACACCAGAATCTGTGCACGTAGATCATCATAGATCGTGGACACGAGTGCTACTGCTATTTCCTGTGGTCCCATTTCACTGGACATCCAGTTTCAGGTCAAAAGAGGCCTCTTTGACTCCTGCTTCTGCCGTGGGACCCCCCTGACCAAACAGGCGCAGCTTTGCCCCTGGAGTCTCCCCGCCCGTCTTGGAGTCTCATTCCGGGTCTCTGAGGTGCGAGCGTGGAGTCTTAGTGCCCCAAGTCTTTGAGTGCAAGAAGGCCGCCGCCGTCGCAACCGCGGCGCGAGCTGGCGCGAGCTGCGTCGTGCGCCGGGAGTTGGACGGAGCTGCGGTGTGCTGTTGTATGCTCGTGTGGGTGTGGTGGTAGGTGGTTTTGGGGTTCTTGTTCCTAGTAACTTCTTGCTCCTAGTAGTAAGGCCAGGAGCCCCTAGTAGCGTCCTTGCTCCTAGTAGCGATGCCAGGAGCCCCTAGTAGCTTCTTGTTACTAAAAAATCTTGCTACTGGTAGTAAGGCACCTTGTTACAATAATTGTTTTTTCCACCCGACAATACACACGGATAGGGCAGAGATGCGCAAAGGGTCAAACAAAGTCCAAGTGCAGGGGGTCGGGGTCAGTCACACTGCGGGGTTTGTTTGGTTGGTTCACCCAGCAGATCCGGCTGAGGCCAACTGTCTTGCTCCGGACGTGGCCAACGCGAAGCAAGCCTCCTGCCAGGAGCAGCGGACCTTGAGAGCCCGAGAGCAGCATGGGATGCATGGGGCAAGGCGAAGGCAATTCCTAGATGTTGTCGAGACGCCCCGCGTTGAATAGATCTATGTTTCATGCCGAACGTCCAAGGGGAACGGCTTCCTGGGGAATTCTGATGGGACAGAATTGATGATATTTCTATATTTTGAGATAAAGGCCTTGGTGACCTGGCCTGGTGGCTTGGTGGTCTTGTTTCAGATTGCTTCATTTTGCAAGCACATGAGGGGTCTCGACTGGCTTTTGTGCATTGATGTATTTTTGTATGTATGATCATTTGATCAATCATTAGAACAGCTTGTTAGTGGACAAGATGCTGAAACAAGGAGAGAGTCTCAGCATATCAGCATATCCGAGTATTTGCAGGTTCTGTGCAATGAAAAGAACAGGTGCAGGCATGTGATCCACAGGACTGTCAGGTTGCCCGGCTCTTGCCTTTTCGATCTTGCCTGCACTGCGCATGCCTTTCCTGGCCTTCCGTCGGTTCGCGTTTCTGGTCATTTCAGGAGGGCATCCTGTTGCTTTCCGGGACCAAATGCACACCACAATGCTTGCAGGCGCAACCCATGCGCCTAGTACCGGTCTTTGGAGTGGGCGCCAGTGCAGAACAAAAGACCCTGGTTGGCATGGACCGTAGGAGGTTGTGGGAAAGCTCATGAGCAGCCGGTTGATGTCTTCTTTAAGCAGCAGCACTGTAGGAAGTGTTAAAGTAGCTTGAATGCTGTGAGCTGTTGTAGATGAATGACATCCTGCACCACCTGGATGGATGGAGGTAGTCACAGATGACTCGACCCATCTCGACATGAATGTATAGTATAGTGACTGACATTGGTGCAGTGTCAACTGGGAAGAAGCATTCTCATCAAGTGCAAAGTACTGTAACAATACTCCCAATCTTTTTTTGTTTCTCCCTCTCTCTCTCTCTCGCTTTCTCTACACATATATATATATATATGATATATATACATATATATATATGATTATATATATATATATCCCAGACACTCCATGTATGGCATATATACATTGACCCCAGGTCAACCATCCCAACTGATCAGCACTGCCAGTCGCAGTCGTCGGTCCGTGTTGAGGTATTCTCGCCCGTCACCGGGGGAGCTAAGTCCCAAGACGTCACCGGGCAGGGGTACCGTGCCAGCCGGCTGGAGCTTCAGTGCGAGAAGGGGGTCTTGACACCTTCCAACTTCAGCGAGGTGCTCAGCCACAGAGGTGCTCAGTAGATTTGAAAGTCAACGAGTCAAAGGCTAAGCCTTTGATATAGTGGTTTGAATGTCTTTGACGATGTTTGATCTATTTGGTGATGGGACTTGGGATAGACTTGGGAATGTGATCCTGTCAACACCGAGGCTGCGAGGGGCGTCCCTGCGAGGCCCCCGTGTCTGAGGACGCCGGGCTCATCGGTTCAAACAGAACAGTTGATTGGGGATGGCCAGAGAAAATCATGCCTAACACAGTTGATCAGAAAGATTGCAACAGTTGATCAGTTGTGAATCTGATGAGACATTCCAACTGTTGGTTTTGCATGGGTATTGAAATCTGAGGCCCTCAGAGTGCCGATTTGCGTTGAAGGGGATTGTTCGTCTTCTGAGTGTGTTGATGCGTTTTGTGTTGTGTCTCCCCTATGGAAAGACGAGGAATATCGGTCAGACCGATCGCTGAACATCGGATTCAATCGAAGAACTTCAGAACAGGACTACGCCTCGTGGGGCCTCTCAGAGACAGAACGTCTTCCGCTGGCATGTTCGCAGCAGAGACGCCGAAGTTAGGGGACATGAGCCTCATTCATCCACCGACAACATGTGGATTGGGTCGCTTCGCCAGATTTGGGATGTTTCGCAATGCTGAAGGTTGACTTCCTTGCCAAAAACATCCAAAAACTTAGTTTGCATGTTCAACACATCAATGACATTGTATATAAACCCAGATACACATGCCAAGCTTTTTGCAGATGAGCAGATTTGTGAGTGGGAGGTTGAAACAGATTGAGCTTTTAGAGGCTTTTAGGATCCTCCTTTGTTTTCAGTCCTGCAGTTTCTTTTGTGCTTTCCGCATGACAATGATCTTCCGGCAGACGGACCACATGGACCGTGAGAATTGACCCATCACCAGTGGCCGCCCGCCCAGGCCAGCCTGTGCCGAGGGGGAGGAGATTCCTCATGGAGGTGATTCCGACCAAACGCATGTGACACACGGTCCTCCTCTATTGATAAATCGCATGAATCAATAAGAGCCAACATGAATCAATAGCAGCAATGATCAATAAGCAGCCGAGTCACTGACTTTTTTGAACACACATCATATTAATTTAAGGAAGAATGTGAATCAAGAGCCACGATCCTGTCTTGGTGAAAATTGGTTTAGATTCAATCTATTTCAAGGCTCGCAACAAAAAGATGGAACTGGCTGAGGACAGTAGATGAACGACCCAACCGAGTTTAGACTCTTTGAGTTCAACAGAATTTGCCATCGCCGCCTTGCGTAGAGACAGTGCCTGGATTGCCCAGCGTTGTAGCACTTGCCAGCTTACTGTCCATAAAGCGTATCGTACATTCACATCGGACTTCCATGTCCAAACTAATCTGGGAAGTATCAGATGTCTCCAATTTCTTTTATTTTCGTATGCTGCCAAAAGGTCATTGGTTGCAGTAGTTTCAGAGTAGGAGTAGGATGCACACATCCTCAAAACCGATGTCAAGTGAAACTTAGTGCGCCTTCACTCCGTTTCATGTCGATAACAAGCTCCTCAGCTGTCATTAAGCCTAGATTCAGTTTGTTTCTCACACACCGCCGTTGGACACAAGACTTTCTTGCGATTGCAGGGCAAGCGAGGGCAAGGCATCCATTTGGTTGTTCTACGGATCGCTTTTTGGGAGCACAAGGGATGACCGGTCCAAGTCTTCCATTTCCATCCGCATCTTTGGGTGCGAAGTGCGAAGTCTGGTTGTTTGCCGGTACCCTGTACAGGGCTTCTTGTGTTGAATTCTAACAAAGGGCGGTTGACGAAAAGGGAGAGGATGGGGCGCCAGGAATCTGTACTGGACAATGCCAAGCTGGGAGCACTGCTTTGCCGCGGATTTTGCAGAAGGGAGACTCAGAAATTTGGTCTCCGAACTTGAGAAAACAAGACCAGCTATCCACAGCAGACAGCAGGCGACCTGCATTTTTTGTAAAGACAGGATTGATCCATTTTGTTGTTATGCTTTTCGTTTTTGACCTTCTGAGATGGAGAAGGTGCATTGCTCTAGCGGTGCGAACCTTGCAAAGCCCACCCCTGTGGGGCATTTCTCCATGTGCCCCATGGGACAGGGGTGACACCAAATATATATATTGTTTATTTTGCAGTGTGCATCTCCACGTACAGGAAGACATCACTATCCAGAAAAACATATCCACTGTAAATGGTGCTGTCGTCGACTCTCTTTTGGACTCTATTGTCATAAGTTGTTCGTGGCAAATTTTGATGGAGGCAGACTTGTGCAACAGGGGAGTTCAGTATGTCCTCTAACAGAGGCCTCAAGTTGGCCAAGCGGGAGAGCAGTCTGAGAAATTACTTGAGGCCAATTTGCTTGCCATTTCATTGGAATCTTGCCCGTTATGTTGAGTACGTCTTTTTGGTGAAGAGAAGATGAGAACATATGTTGTTTCACTGATGTCCACCAGTCACTTGCCAATTTTTGACATTCTCGACGTTTCATGGCAGTTCACTGTGTCAACAGGACATGGCCAACGAAGCTTCTGACCCCAGACATCAGAGTTGTTGCTTTCGCTTTTCCACCCAGAGAACTGTTTCTTCAAGGTGCCAAGTGCAACAGCTGCAACCTCCCAATTTTACTTGTGGCAAGGTGCTGAAAAACTCGGCAGGGCAGTGTTGTGGCCTCCAATTGATGGATTTGAATGGATTTGATAGACCGGGCGGCCGGGCATAGTTCTGTGGGAAACCCCCCGGAAGATCGAAGGACGGAAAATCGATGAACATTGACCACAACCGAAAAATACAGGGCCCATTGAACGTTTAACGTTTTACCAGTCGTTTTACCATTTAACGTTTTACCAAAAGGAGAGGGGGTGGATCCTCTGGAGGATTGAAGTGGGGTGAACCCCAACGAATCTCATGCTTCTACACGTCTTCAGGTCTACAAACGTTGAGATCCAGAGAAATACCTGCAATTTCAATTAAACTTTGTTGGGCACTTGTATTCTGCAAGACCTGTTTTGACAAGAAATCACTCGAACATAGAATGCAACCGTGAGTGTTCTTCGCTTCGCTCTATGCGATGTGTGAGCACGTCTAAAAGTGGATTTATAAAACCCATTTTTCGCAGATGACTTCAGAAGATCCCTGGGAGAAGCTCCGTTCTTGTGCTGCATGTGTTAGAGCAGGATCGATGTATGTGCGGCCTACGCCCGGTCCAAAGACAGACACCCAAATTCTCGGATTCCCCTGGAGTCACCGGTCTCCGGCCAGTTTTGCACTGCACCAGAGGGCATTGAGCATGCGCTGGATCCAACGTGTGCAGAGGCTAGGCTTGGGATTTTGTGTTTTCTTCCTTTTATTTTCCAGTGGTATGGTCATTGGCCGAATGAATATATGTATACGTATACATATACGATTATGCAATATAGATATTATATATATATACACATCTCCACTGTGAAGTTGGGTGTGCCTTTCATTTCCCCATCCTCCGGTCGAAAAGGGACAGAAACTTATTTCAGAGAGTGAGTGGACACATCGCAGAATTCGTTGGATCCAAGGTCTTGCGGTATGTTCGCTTCCAGCAATGACAACTGACTCAAGGGCAAACATGAATTTACATACTCCTGTTTTGCGCTTGAGTCAAGAACTCAGGAGGACACCACAAGAAAATCTATAGGTGATGTTCACAACACTGAACCTGTTGTCAACATCATGTACTTGAGGACACACATGCATTTACAGAGCTGCACAGCAATTGTTAAAGCCTACCAGTCTACCGGTCGGCAATATGTGACTGAGAAAGACACTTGTTCGTCCCGTAGGACATCAGATTGTCAATCGCACTATATAGTTCCCATCATCAGCGGAGAAGGTTGGTAGAATTGATCATCGCAGACCTATTGCACATGGTACATGTGTAACATTGTGTAACTATACAATTGCATAATATTTTGAAGTAAATCAGTCTCTCTTACAAACACATGTTTTTTAGTTTGTTATTACACATGTTTTTCCTAAGCAACGAAACCTCACGATATTTCTCTAGCTGACGAGACTCTCCCAAGCTCACTAACGAGCGAAGCCAAGCCGTCGCTGGCAGGGCCGGGTTTTGGAACATGGCACCTACTGTAGCACCTTGGCGGCGAGATCCCTTGGAGCGAATTCCCCAAGGAAAGAGGGAAGACCACCTATATGCGGCCCATGTGAGGAGTTTATTCTGTTTTGCACGGCATTCTCAAAACTGAAGCTTGTCAATCTCATAGACTCACAGCTTAGATTGGCCACATGTCAGCAAGGTCAAGTCAAGAAAACATGCAAATACCGGTAGTATACCCCTGGTAATCCCCCTTCCAGGTCGATCAGGCGAATTTCAGATTTGTTTGGGCCAAGGCCCTCAGTGTGGTGCGGGATTTACTGCCTTGGTGGCCTTGGATGTGGAGCTTCAGGTCGGAGAGGACTGTAAGAGCGATGTCCGAGAGGACTGTAAGAGCGATGGCCTCCATATCGAATATATATAGCATTGGCCTCCAACCTAATAAGTAGCAATGGCCTCGAAACTGATAGCAATGGCCTCCAACCTAGTAGCACTGGCCACCAATGTAATATGGCCTCCAACCTAATAGCGATGGCCTCCATATCGAATAGAGAGATTGGGACAACAGGGTTTTTTTCAGATGATGGTCAAGGGTGTCCGTGTGCCGGTCCAGCCTGGGGTTCTCCCTACTCCACCTTTGAAGATGGGACTGCATGGAAGTGTTTTAGAAATGTTGAGACTACTTTCCTCACAGGGACCGTTGTTCATTTCTTGGTGAATGACCAGTAGTGTAGCAATGTGTAGCATACTTGTAGTATATTAAGAGATGAGATGAGCAGAGCGATTGCAGCGAGGCGAGAGAGTTTCTGGTGCCAAAACATTGGAGGCCAATGCTCCTGAGGGTCCTCCCCGCTTGCGCTGCATGGTTGGGGCCCCGAGCGCAAGTGGGTTCAGTGAAACTGGTCATGCACCAAAGCTTCCCGACGGAGCGGCTCTTCGTGTCTGACAGAATTTCCTCAATTTTGCTGACATGATGGGCATGGGGACGATGTCAATGTCTGACAACCAACCGGAATGCTGGTTACAGAAGCACCCTCAGTCTTAGGTCCAGACAGGGCAAACTGTAAGCTTCGTCCATACCCGGCACAACATGAGTATGGCTTCAATAGGGAGCAAATGTCTCCATGCAGTCAACAGTCAACATACTCCTCCAGAGCAGCTCACCACTGTGCAAGGTTTCCCGCAAAAGGATAATTTGATAATTATATACTATAGAAAGTAATAATATATATATATATGCACATACATATGATAATATTTGATCATTTCATATATGCCGCTGTGATTCTTGACCAAAATTGCTTGAAATATTAGATCAATCTGTTCCATCTCACTGGTGACGACTCCGTCGTGTCGAGTTTGAGCTCGGACGACCCAGGCCCAGAATAGGTTTGGGACGACCCAGTCATCATGGTTCTTGTAGTCTATGACTGAGATGGATTTAAACTCAGATATCCATCTCAATCTATGTAGTCTATATTCACAGTTTACACCCAGGTCTCAGTCGATGTTTTGGATGAATCAAGACCCCTTGATGCAAGCTGCGAACCTTGGCTGGTTCCGTTTTAGCCAGAGCTTTGAACCAAGGTTCAGAACAGAAGACACATAGATCCACGTCACACACCCCTAGATCATGGATGATCATGGGGTTTGGGATCCCTGTAAACAACCTAACAACCTTGTGGGATTCAGACATCTCTATAGACTCTAGAGTCTAGTTTGTTCGTGTTTTGGTTGTGTTGCTTGCTTCTTTGACACGATAATACCATATAATGCATACTTGTCGCTTTCTTATGTTTTTTTCTCCAGGCATCCGCCCTTTTGATGGAGCTCAAATTGGTTTCATTGCGTGAAGAGTAGTTCATTTGAATCCGAATCCAACAGCTAAGTCTTGGTGGAGTTCCACTTTCCTCCCCTGAATGGATTGGTTTGAATACGGCTATAGGCCGCAAGTCGGGTTTTGTCTCAAAGCAAGGGGGAACATGTGAAATCATGTATGGTATGGAATCAGTACCTATGCATTTGAGCCATGCAAGGTGCACAAGTATGTGCAGCAACTAGTCCATACTTCGTATTTCTGGGCTCAAACCACGTCATAGCCACCTTGGCCGAATCAGAAAAAGCAGAAACAGGCTCCCAAACTCTGGTTGAATAGATCTTTGGGGTTGTGCTACCTTTAAATTAGGCCTTTCGAATGTCTTCTCGCTGCCTGTCTCCGAGGACAGCCTCATGCATCCTGCGCACTTCACCTGCGCCCCGGACGTTTGCGCGGCTCCCACGGGAGTCGAAGGCGGGAGTCTTTCGGGTGGGTTTGAACACGAAAGAAACGCCCAAGAAGGCCGATGTGCATCGCCAGGAGATTTTTTTGGCCCGGGGCTATTCGTGGACGTTTTATGGAATGCCAGTAGGAAAACTAACGGCAACAAAAACCCAGAAACCTTCGCAGAACTTTGTGGAAGGTGTGTGTTTGTTTGTTATTTGTGTTTTTTTAGCACTACCTGCGTAGATACCTTTGTATACTGTATACTGTATACATATTAATTAGATTATTTTGCTGACTCCCTTTCCACACACACCGTCCATTTAGCCTTCAAATGGCACAAGCAGATGTCGAAAGCTGAAAACACAAGACGCACTTCTTCGCAGCAACAATGCGAGTTTAGCAAACTAGCTAACTCTGTTTGTTTTCGAAGCCGACGCCAACGTCTCACGAAGCCAAGGCCATAGCCATAGGCCACTTGCTGGAGCACGCTCGATGCACACTCGATGTGTTGGACATGCCAGGTGGAGGAGTCCCTGCTTGTGAGGAAGGATTTATCATTGGCAGCAGTCCACTTAAAGTCGGATGGAAGCACAGAAACACACCGTGTTGTTTGTTCCTTTTTTCAGTGCCAAGGTCAACATAGCCCACACCTGGTAAACAGCTGATCAATTTCTTGCATGATGAAGAGGGCTAAGTAATTTGTTTGCTAGTCATTTTGACTAAGCGTTGACACCTCGCACATGCTTAGGTGGAGCAGTTTGCACCACGGCATGTCAACCAGGCGAGCAGTATGCTGTCACGCTGTGCCACTCCAAGAGTGTGTGTGTGTGCTGACTGGCCACCCAAATTGTGGCGACCTTCTGGTTTGCAAAACAGCTGAGAACATGTCTCAAGACATCAAAGGCTGAACCAACTTATTTAGACCACACTCATGACTAGACACAACACGCGCTACCCGACGATTCGGCATACGGTTGACAGCAGCTGACATCGACGACGATACACGTGCTCCACGTGCTTCATGGGTTGTTGCAGTATATATGAGTAGATGGGGCATGATCAAGTGGTTTGGTCCGTAGCGTCAGACACCGGAGCATCAGGGTGGAAGAGCGGAAGAGCGGACCTGAGCACCCTCCATCATTGTTTGGGGACAAAGAGTTGCGGGTCGTTGCCAGGTTTTGGACTTTTGTTTGGTTATAAATAGTGTATGTTTTATTTTTGTGTGTTTTACACCTTACATTTTGTGTGTGAAGACGTTGCATGGACTCACAATTAATGATCCAGTCATCCCCAGACTGGAAAGGATTATATCAGCATCGAGTACAAACAACTGCCGTACAAGTACTTTAGTCATGAGCCGCCTTAAGTATGTCTATATTTCTGAAATGGTCAAAGCCTTGCAACACCGACAGCGGCCAACCCTATACCGATACCCTGGAGTTTTGAGCGCAAATGGCATGCACATGACCACTAAAGACCCAAAAGCAGGATAGGGTCAACAGTCCCAAATGTGCGATATACTAATTTTGGTTTGTTTTCTTGATGAGACCATTTTACAAAAAACGGTTGTGAGCCTTCATTGCAGAATGATTCTGTCTCAAAACATGTGGACCCCACGCAATATGACAAACACTGTAATTCATTGTTGGTCAGAATTACTACTAGGTGCTCAGAATTGTTTATTCTTGTCAGGCTATGGTGCAACTCCAGAGAAACTTCAATGCAATGCAGCAGCGTCCTGGCAGATCATTTGCAGAGCATCGTACAGCTACAAAATTTCGATGGGGGAACTTGGCTCCACGGCGAAACTGAAGAACTCGTGAAAGAACACTGGATTTAGAGAACGTTCGACGCTCCCGAAGAAACAGAAAAAAGGTAAAGCCCACCAGGGGTCATCAGGAGTTCCAAAGGGGTTGGATTCGGTTGGATCTAGACATTATATAGATTAAAGGCATGGAATCTAGACACTAATTAATTGGTAAAAAGGCGCCCCTACTCTCCAATAACCGCCCCTTTGGAACTCCAAATCACCGTATCCATCCACTTGCTTGATGGTAGGTAACTACCCCGCCCCCCCCGGAGCTCTTTTTGTCTAAGACCACCTGGTTGCCTCGTGCCTGTCACCGCCGACAGGTCGCTCACCGTCGCAAAAACCGTACCGTTCACTTCGCTCCTCTCGGTATAGCTTCTAGCTACGTTACTACTCGTAGCTTCTAGCTACGTTCGTAGCTTCTTGTTACTACTCGTAGTAGCCTCCAACCTACTAGCGATGGCCTTGCACCTACTATTCCCTAGAAAGCCGTATTCTTCTGTTTTCAGGGTCCACGTCCCCTTTCCGCTGCACTGACCCTGCACCGGAAGCGGATGCTCTGAGTATGAGCATTGATATAGTTGTCTTTTGGGTGGTGTTGGCAGTTGGTAGAGCAAATGAACAATGAAACAACTGACAGTAGGCCGCGATTTGTTTGCCAATCACTCAGAATCCGCAGGAGAGTTGGGGAGAATCTTACTTCTCAGTTCTTAGGTTGAACGTTTGTTGAAAGCACTATGGGATTCCTAACTCATAAGCAGAATCTCGTGCCGCCTCAACCAAGAAAACAAAAAACAGGAGATGGCACACCCTGAGAGAGAAGTCATGGAAATTCAGAAAAAGCGAGCCAATCTCCATCTCCATGCTGGTCTATTTGGGTGTTCCTTTTCTTGTCTAGTTTGTTTAGTTCACTTCATTCTAGATCATTTTACGAGCACACGTTGACAATCTCAAGCTGATTAATGAATTGGATCATATTTTTCATATCTGGTTTGTGTTTGTTTCCTATACTGTAAACTACAGTATATAATTCTCCTCTCCTGAATTTGTTTTATTCCTTTCTCCTGTTATTTACCCATGAGGACTAGAAAATAACCCCAATTATTCATCGGCTGTGTGTCCATGCAAAACAAAGCAACACCAGCATTATCTAATCAATCATATCTGCAGAGAAAAACACAAGCAGTACCAAAACTATTTCTTTATCATCCGCAGCGCCATGCTCGGCCATGCTCCAGTTTTTTTGTTGTGATTTGCACAGAGTTTGCCCAACTCATCCCATAGGGAATTTCCACAGGCCAAAATTGTCTGTATATAACAAGTGCCATATCAAGCAGTGTCTCATGAGAGCAGCGGTTGTGCTTTGCACATTCAACTTTCTTCTTTGCATGTGATGTAGTTTTTCATATGATCCCAAGTTCTGTCAATGACCTGCGTACCTGCCACGCGTGAACCAGAGCTACATGCAGTACTGGTGAGCATGTCAAAAGTGACAACACAAAGCTACATGTCAGTGTGCATGTGAACATTAACGTCATTTTGAAATCCCCACCTCCCCACCTCCCACGTAGCTACATGTAAGTGTGCATGTGAACATGTCAAAAGTGACAACACGTAGCTACATGTTAGTGTGCAGATGAACATGTCAAAGTGACAACAGCACTGCCCCTTAAGGGGCGCCGTCACCCAAAACTATATATATATGCAGTAAAAGTACAACCTAGCACTTCGGACTCCAAGAATGTTTTTGTAGTGGGCATGAGTGCTACACGAGGAAGTTGTTTTTCTTTTTAATGCTTCTACTTGGACGTGGAACATAAATTACTTTAGTCGACAATTGAACCTTATATTCAGTGACAAATGGTGTTTAGGGCAACTAATTGCCTTCACAAGGTCAACAACATAGGATAGTCTACTTTGACATGGATACCTTTAGATAAACTCAACTCCATTGCAAAAGACTTTAATTTAGACAACCAAAAGGGTTGGATAATGCTCCACAAAGGCATTTGGCAAAAATGGAAATGGTTTCCATGGAGGATAACTTAACTGATCATAACTTAATTGCTCAGGGAAGAATACCTTTTGCAGAGTCGAAAGTATTATTCAATAAAGATTTTGGATATTGGAGGCTTTTGCCTATGAACATGAAGTTGTAATGGAGGCTCATACAGGGGTGAAGCCCCCATAAGGCAAACATCTATATGTTCCAGCAAACTATTTGCAAGCATGATGGGATACAAGGTTTGAGAGTTCAAGAATTCAGACATGTTTTCCAGCCTCTTGAATCTCCAGCCTCTTGAATCTCGAATCCAGATGTTGTTGCAAGTTGCGACTAGATAAGACAAGCTTCACATGCACAATGTATCATGTATAGATCTACATTTCTATACATTTCTTGAGAATGCACCAAAATCATCCAACATCTAGTCGCTTTGGAACCTAAATCCCAAACCTTTGGGCTGGTGTCAGCTTCAGGGCGCTCCAGAAAAAAAGAAAACGACCAAAGTGGCAAGTTGGTTGGTTTGTGTCGTGCATCGTTTGGGTTGAGTGTTTGGGTGTCTTCAGCTCAGACCCGGACCATCCTCCGGGGGTGGAAACCCGGGGTTTCCCCGAAAGAAAGGGGTCCGGGTTCGCAGGGGTCCGGCAGGGGTGGATATAGATGCGAACCAGCAGTGAGAAGCAGAAGCTCCACTTCCAAAAGTTCTGGATTTGATGAGGGGTCCCTTTTTCGCTTGAGATGCGAAGTGAAATGGAATGAAATGAATGCCTCTCACAGAGGGACTGGTCTCCGAACGCACTCGAGAGGCGCTGAAGGCTGCGACATGTGTATCGACTTCAATTCAGGGCGGTCATAGTCACGGATCAGAAGAAAACACAGAAAAGCTGCACACAATCAATCACAATCACCCGCATTCCGCTCGATCGGGCGCCATGGCTCCGTTCTCACGCGTCTGGCTGGGCGCGTCCTTGGGCGCGTCCTCTGGGCCACTGGAATGGGTGGATGTCGACCTGGGGGAGCCCATGGTCGGCCGTGCCCACCACCTGCGCAGCGCCATGCGGTCAGCTTGGAAGGAGGTGGGTTTGACCTGGGTCAGCTTGGTGGGAGGTGGAAATACGAGGAAATATGCCATATTGCAGCAACCGAGTTTGACGCATGCCCATAGGGTCGCCAGTTGTGTGTGTAGACCTTGGAGTCAAAGGTAACCTGTTGGTTCTAATCTGCAGAACGAAGCGGGTACTGAGTCTTGTCAACTCGGCGTACCTGCACCTGCAGTTGTGAAGTTTTAGCCGTTCTCCAATCGTAGAGGTCTTCAGGCTGTTGCAGGAATTTTCAGGTCTGCAGTTGTGCACTTGCCGCTCGTTCTTGTCGGTTTTCTCGCTCGCGTGGCATTTCTCTTGAACTTGATGAGCTTGAAGCATTTGGTTTTGGAAACTCTGGAGGCTTGATTGTTGGAGCCCTCTGCACTACCTAACTTAGGTGCTTTAAATTACGGAGGTTTCTTCAGGGCTTGAAGCGATCAGATCGTACATGTATGGACCCCTGATGACACCTGTATCTAAGGGCTCTCTTCACTTTCAACTTTTAAGCAGCTGAATTGTACTGTACAGTGACAGCAGGGGGACTGCCTGACTCCAACAAAGAGGTTTCTATGAGTCCCTGATATGAGGATTCTGGGCGCGGAATCCACGTGAAGCTGCTTCATGTGACGCGGAGACAGTTACATATTGTTCTGGGACTTCTTCCAAAACCCGTTTTCAGCTACTTCAGGTGGTCTAATGCAGTAAGATAAGATCCAGTGCATTTCACCGGTTTGTTCTTGCTGTCTCCGAACTTCCATGCTGGATACGTGTGTGTTATTTTATATTGTGTAATTGTTAGATAGACAAACAACTTCGACTTCTTCGTGATATCGACGGTCGTCGACCGCCAGGTGGTGGACGAGATGTTGGACGCTGACGCTGAGACCTCGGATGAAATCGTCTTGACGGTGCGGCGGCAGTGGGCCAAGCAACCGCAGATGCCCGGAGATGCTCCGGTGGGAATTTTCGACAGCGACTTGGGCAGATTTGGCCGCCAGGGTCGTGGAAACAGCATGTGGTGTTCCCATCCCAACGAGGGAGAAACACCTTATTTGACCCTTTGTCAAACCTTAGTTGCTGATCACCAACCTCCATGAATCAATAAACATCCCCATGTAAAGCATCACATGTAAACATCCTCCAGGAAGATGGGACTGCCCATTCCCAACCACCAAGCATATCAATGCGAATCACCCATCCATCCTTATAGATTGGACATCCCACCCCGCACGAGGTGGCGTGGGTGGCCTCACGGTCTACCGTCGCTTGCGTGAGCGTTGGCCCATGGCAGATGTTACATACCTGGCAGATGACCAGCGAGCGCCGTATGGGCGGCTTGACTTGAGATGCTTGAAACGTTTTGAAACCATGTTTTTATAGTTGCAACATGTTGCAATGGCATGTGGGATCATGTCGGGATCCACCGCAGTAGTCTGTGTGCATGCCCCCGAGTAGTCTGTGTCGATTTGAGGCCCCAGGCACCGGAGGACGTGGCACGCTACGTCGAGCACATTGCTCACTATTTGCGGAACGACACGCAGCTCACCTTGATCGCCTGCAACACAGCCTCGGCCGGGAGAGAGTCAGAGGGTAGACCACGTTCATGGCGGTAGCATGGTGGTGTGGTGTCCTAAAGTTTGGTGCTGGCTGAATTCGATCAGCGAGGTTATACATTCAGTACATGTATTATTTATATACATGTGATTGCACAACCGTATATGAGCGGCGAGCCTGCGTAGCCACAAACAGCTTGTTAATGTTCCATCCAAATGCCTCGAAATATCCTCGACGTTTGATCCAATTATCCGATTTCCAAAGATGTTCAAAGTCACAAAGAGC